ATGAGTTTGTTGCAGTTAAACGTATAGTCTCCTGCCTCGTGTCACCATATACGAAATATACGTTTGTTGTTGTTGCCCGCGAGTACACAGCCTTGTGTTTTGATGCGAGACGAGTCGGCGAGAAGCTGCATATTTCAACGGCTGCAGAGATAAACTTGCTCAACAATAAACAATTACTGCTTTAAATAAACAAAACAGGAATAATCACATGCCTAGATTACCTCAATCTCATAAAATCGGATTCAAGTTCTCGCTACCACTGAGGACATCCCATTACAAGTATAGTGCAAACAGAATCTTTAGATTTTGCAGAAATATTGAATAACTTTGAAATCGTTGTCGGATTTTTCGAGAGATTTCTGGACATTAGACACTTAAGCTCTCTCAACTGCCCACGACTGACAGTGAGAGTGTGCGTGTTTGGGGAGAGGCAGTAGCGTCAGTAAATGATCCTGTCAGACACACTTTCAGCGGCCTGTCAGTGATGGGTGATAGCAATCTTTACGTGTGTTGTGAATTTCCAGGCAATTATAGCTCTACAGATTTGTTTAGTCCCTGAAAATGAAGAGAGTTTTATTATTAATATATTTCATAACTAATATTTAACAACTGTTTATATCTGTAAAATATGTTAATTTCAGAGACAAGATGTTCGTCTAAGACATATCATGTCGTAAAAGTTACGGTTTGTGGCTGTTTTAGTTTTGAGGCACACTCACCAAGAAAGGGTGATGACCAACAGTAACACACCCCGAGACACAAACCAATTTCAGATGTGAAACGCAGAGATTGTATAAGAAGATATGAAGATAAGATGCAGTAAAAGATATAGCAGAATCACTGCAAACCCCTCACCCCGACTCCTCACCTCCAACCCCCACCAGAGGGAAGCAATATAGTTTTCACCAGGTGGTATAGAGCGACTCTTTTTACGTTAGTTTATGCATGAAAGATTAAGGAATCAGAAAATATTATTTCAAAAACGTACTTAAAACAATTTCCATTCGAAAAAGCTAGGCTCCCAGATGTGCCACTATGTTTTCAGGCTATAGTTTCCAAAAGGGGGTATAGAGCGACTGTTTTAAAGTTATTTAATGCCTAAATGGTTAAGGAAAGAGATAATAATATTTCAAACCCGTATTTTAAACTATTTCCATGCGAAAAATGCGAGGCTCCCAGATGTGCCACTAAGTTTTCAGGCTATTTCCATGGGGACGTTTGTATAGACAACCCCCCGTGGTAAAGGGAAGCTATATAGTTTTCACCAGGTGGTATAGAGCGACTGTTTTAAAGTTATTTAATGCCTAAATGGTTAAGGAAAGAGATAATAATATTTCAAACCCGTATTTTAAACTATTTCCAAGCGAAAAATGCGAGGCTCCCAGATGTGCCACTAAGTTTTCAGGCTATATCCATAGGGACGTTTGTATAGACGACCCCTTGTAGTAAAGGGAAGCTATATAGTTTCCAAGAAAGGATATAGAGCGACTGTTTTAAAGTTATTTAATGCCTAAATGGTTAAGGAAAGAGATAATAATATTTCAAACCCGTATTTTAAACTATTTCCATGCGAAAAATGCGAGGCTCCCAGATGTGCCACTAAGTTTTCAGGCTATATCCATAGGGACGTTTGTATAGACGACCCCTTGTAGTAAAGGGAAGCTATATAGTTTCCAAGAAAGGATATAGAGCGACTGTTTTAAAGTTATTTAATGCCTAAATGGTTAAGGAAAGAGATAATAATATTTCAAACCCGTATTTTAAACTATTTCCATGCGAAAAATGCGAGGCTCCCAGATGTGCCACTAAGTTTTCAGGCTATATCCATAGGGACGTTTGTATAGACGACCCCTTGTAGTAAAGGGAAGCTATATAGTTTCCAAGAAAGGATATAGAGCGACTGTTTTAAAGTTATTTAATGCCTAAATGGTTAAGGAAAGAGATAATAATATTTCAAACCCGTATTTTAAACTATTTCCATGCGAAAAATGCGAGGCTCCCAGATGTGCCACTAAGTTTTCAGGCTATTTCCATTCGGACGTTTGTATAGACAACCCCCCGTGGTAAAGGGAAGCTATATAGTTTTCACCAGGTGGTATAGAGCGACTGTTTTAAAGTTATTTAATGCCTAAATGGTTAAGGAAAGAGATAATAATATTTCAAACCCGTATTTTAAACTATTTCCAAGCGAAAAATGCGAGGCTCCCAGATGTGCCACTAAGTTTTCAGGCTATATCCATAGGGACGTTTGTATAGACGACCCCTTGTAGTAAAGGGAAGCTATATAGTTTCCAAGAAAGGATATAGAGCGACTGTTTTAAAGTTATTTAATGCCTAAATGGTTAAGGAAAGAGATAATAATATTTCAAACCCGTATTTTAAACTATTTCCATGCGAAAAATGCGAGGCTCCCAGATGTGCCACTAAGTTTTCAGGCTATATCCATAGGGACGTTTGTATAGACGACCCCTTGTAGTAAAGGGAAGCTATATAGTTTCCAAGAAAGGATATAGAGCGACTGTTTTAAAGTTATTTAATGCCTAAATGGTTAAGGAAAGAGATAATAATATTTCAAACCCGTATTTTAAACTATTTCCATGCGAAAAATGCGAGGCTCCCAGATGTGCCACTAAGTTTTCAGGCTATATCCATAGGGACGTTTGTATAGACGACCCCTTGTAGTAAAGGGAAGCTATATAGTTTCCAAGAAAGGATATAGAGCGACTGTTTTAAAGTTATTTAATGCCTAAATGGTTAAGGAAAGAGATAATAATATTTCAAACCCGTATTTTAAACTATTTCCATGCGAAAAATGCGAGGCTCCCAGATGTGCCACTAAGTTTTCAGGCTATATCCATAGGGACGTTTGTATAGACGACCCCTTGTAGTAAAGGGAAGCTATATAGTTTCCAAGAAAGGATATAGAGCGACTGTTTTAAAGTTATTTAATGCCTAAATGGTTAAGGAAAGAGATAATAATATTTCAAACCCGTATTTTAAACTATTTCCATGCGAAAAATGCGAGGCTCCCAGATGTGCCACTAAGTTTTCAGGCTATTTCCATTCGGACGTTTGTATAGACAACCCCCCGTGGTAAAGGGAAGCTATATAGTTTTCACCAGGTGGTATAGAGCGACTGTTTTAAAGTTATTTAATGCCTAAATGGTTAAGGAAAGAGATAATAATATTTCAAACCCGTATTTTAAACTATTTCCATGCGAAAAATGCGAGGCTCCCAGATGTGCCACTAAGTTTTCAGGCTATATCCATAGGGACGTTTGTATAGACGACCCCTTGTAGTAAAGGGAAGCTATATAGTTTCCAAGAAAGGATATAGAGCGACTGTTTTAAAGTTATTTAATGCCTAAATGGTTAAGGAAAGAGATAATAATATTTCAAACCCGTATTTTAAACTATTTCCATGCGAAAAATGCGAGGCTCCCAGATGTGCCACTAAGTTTTCAGGCTATTTCCATTCGGACGTTTGTAGACGACCCCCTGTGTTAAAGAGAAGCGATATAGTTTCCGAGACAGGATATAGAGCTACACCTTTTACTTCATTTTATGCCTAAATGGTGAAGTAAAGATATAATAATATTTTAAACCCGTATATTAAACTATTTCCATGCGAAAAATGCGAGGCTCCCAGATGTGCCACTAAGTTTTCAGGCTTTTTCCATAGGGACGTTTGCATAGACAACGCCCTGTGTTAAAGAGAAGCAATATTGTTTCCAAATGGGGGTATAGAGGGTCTGTTTTAGAGTTATTTTATGCCTCAGTTGTTCAGAAAAGAGAAAATAATATTTCAAACACTTTTTTCAAACTATTTCCATGCGAAACATGCGAGGCTCCCAGATGTGCCACTAAGTTTTCAGGCTAATTCCATTCGGACGTTTGTAATAGACGACCCTCTGTGTTAAAGGGAAGCTATAAAGTTTCCAAAAGGGGATATAGAGCGACTGTTTTCAAGTTATTGTATGCCTAAATGGTTAAGGAAAGAGATAATAATATTTCAAACCCGTATTTTAAACTATTTCCATGCGAAAAATGCGAGGCTCCCAGATGTGCCACTAAGTCTTCAGGCTATTTCCATACGGACGTTTCCATAGACAACCCCTAGTGGTAAAGGGAAGCAATATAGTTTCCAAAAGGGGGTATAGAGCGACTGTTTTAAAGTTATTTTATGCCTAAATTGTTTAGGAAAGAGATAATAATATTTCAAACAAGTATTTTAAACTATTTCCATGCGAAACATGCGAGGCTCCCAGATGTGCCACTAAGTTTTCAGGCTCTTTTCCAATGGGACGTTTGTATAGACGACCCCCTGTGTTAAAGGGAAGCTATATAGTTTCCGAGACAGGATATAGAGCTACTCCTTTTACCTCATTTTATGCCTAAATGTTTAAGTAAAAAGATAATAATATTTCAAACCTGTATTTGAAACTATTTCCATGCGATTCATGCGAGGCTTCCAGATGTGCTACGAAATTTTCAGGCTATTTCCATAGTGACGTTTGGATAGAGAAAACCCTATGTTAAAGGGAAGACATATAGTTCCCGAGTGAGTGAGTTAAAAGTTAACGAGAGAGGTTGTAGATCGAAATGATTTACCAACAATTTTACAGGTTGGGAGTTATGCAGAAGAAGCATATGATGTGACTGTAATTCCCTTGACTTTACTACTAAGATAATCTAGTTTACCCTTTCTTTACCAATGTGTTGTATTTAACTTAGATTTTATGGTAATGTTGCAGCCATGTTTCTTATTTCGTTTCCGATGAAACTTTGATCATTGGTAACATTACATAACATTTGCAAAGGACGGGCATACAAAAGAACTACACAAAGGTCAAACTACTGATCATATGAATCATATTATATATAGTAGCTTCACGCGATGTATGCTCAGTTGCTTTATAAGATTATTTGATGAAAAAAAAATGCATTATAACACAAGAACATACTGATATATATCTTTACTATCTATATGGCTACTTTACCTATTTGACACGCTTGATGATAAAATAGTTGGAACTAATTGAAGATGATATTGTATAATATAAATGCATTCCCAGCCGGAAGTAAAGAACGTGTCGTCTGTTACAAACAGCTTGCAGATTAATTATCCAGCCGTCCTCGTCTTTATCAGTTAGGAGGTGGGAGATTTGTTCATGTGAACCTTCACTGAAGGGATTTGTTCCGGGGCCGCGCTGCAGTTTATTTGGAGATGTCGTATCAGATTACAAAAGTGCTGTCATCATTTGGCCTTGACGTGTTGACGGGAGAATGGCGTTGAGCAGGCGGCGGAGAGGGGTTCTTATTTAAGATGACCCAGACTGGAGAAATAGAATAAAAACGCATAATTGAATTCAATAGAAAAACACTGGAACATGCATGCTGAAACAGAACAGTGAACTAAAATGTACCTAAATATAGGTGGCTGGAGGGGTTGGTGCAGCGTTCGAAATACCTGCCTGCCCGACCGTCCGAGACTGGTTGATTTTAACCCGTACTGTCAGATTTTCAAATCCCCCTGCCCGACGGTCGGGTTTTATTTTATAGGTGAAAATATTCTAAATAATTCCCGATGATAAGCATTAATTCACATGTAAAGATGAATGATAAAATGTAACCAAAAAGAAACCCCGTTAGCTTTTAGCCAACCTAACATTTAGCGATGCGCTTATGCTACAAGCAATCAGTTTTGATATTTTTAATTAAACTATCCTGAGAAACATATGATTATAGTGGGCAGGCAGGTTTTGGTCAGGGCTGGCAAGTATTTCTGCTAGCCAGTCCTGTGGTCTGGCTGAAATTTTTGGGAGTTTCATACCCTGGTTGGTGGTGGGGAAATTAAAGGAAACATTATTCAGGAGCTCTTAACTGTTTGGACAATATTTTAAAAGAGTTCAATTTAACTATAAACCCCCAAAGTATAGACTTTCTTGGTCAAACTCCTCTCACGGTATTTACTTTCGAAACAAGAATATTATATGAACAGGGTGTTATATACTACCTAGTATGCACTAGACAAATAATGTAACATGTGAATAAGTATAAGATATGTGAATAAGTACTATAATAAGACAAAAAAATGTTATCAATGCTTTGGGAAAAGCCTGTGTAAGTCTATGTCTCCTGACCCCGGGTTCCATCAGATAAGGGACAGTCTCGCCACAACACAGCTGTTGCTGAAAGGGGATATAAACAATAACACAGAGATGTGGGTCAGCTCACTGGCACTTTTTACTGGCACATGTGCCGATCAGTGGCATGAGCCTTCCCCATATGTGTTACTGACGAGTTAGATTGTGATTATAAAGTGAAACCTTACTGATATAAAACAAACAGGATTCAACTAATATATTATCAGGGAGGCCAAGGTAAGTAAATGTTTTCATTATATCGTGGATTTGGATGGAAACACCATGTAACAGATAATGCTTCTAGGTGTTAGATAATGGTTAGATTGTTCTAGCTATTAGGAGTAACTGGTTATATGTTGCTCAGATAGTGATTGTCACAGAAATAAGTATTGTATGTTCAGATATAATATATATTCCATCAAATTACTGTGGAAACAGTTATTGCAAATGCAGATATTGATTGTGTTACAATGTCCGCTTTCCAGGAAGTGTTTGTCGGTATCGCTTCGTGGAAAAGAGATATGTGGGTCACACTATTGACTAAGGTCACCGTGACACAAGAAACATAGACGGAGAAACTGGTTATATATTGATTTGTTAGTGTTTGTCCACAGAAATAAGTGTCGTATATTCAGATATCATATATAATACATCAAATTGCTGTGGAAGCAGTTATTACAAATGCAGATACTGATTGTGTAACAATGTCCGCTTTCAAGGAAGTGCTTGTGTGTATCGCTTCGTGGAAAAGAGATATGTGGGTCACACTATTGACTGAGGTCTCTCTCTCTCTCTCTCTCTCTCTCTCTCTCTCTCTCTCTCTCTCTCTCAATGTGTCTCCACTAAGATGAACAAAGTACTGGGTATTCAGCCACTCTCGCTCAGTCACTCGCTCTCCATCACGTTTTTGCCACTCATGCCACTGATGCATCTTCGAGACATTAAGCACCATATGCCTATGAATGTGTATTATTTGCTATTTGTTTTATTGTAGCAACAAAATGGAGTTTACTACACACAGGAACACAACCGACTCGGCCGAGTCTCTGTATGATAGTGCTGAAGACCTGACGTCTGACACGTCTGATGCTGGGGAGAATGGCCATCAAAGTCCAAATAACACAACTGTGCCAGACGGAAACAGAAATGTACCAGTAGGAGAACGATCTATAGAAGACGTCAACAGAAAAATCTTTGAATTATTTGCCAAGCCATATTTGGATCGTCAAACGGATTCACAAGACGGAGTACTGGCGATCATTGAAAATATCATTTCATTTGGTGTGCAAATGCTTGGGGAAAGAGTAAAATCATATGCCGAAAAAGCATATAATCTGAGTAAAGATGTTGGCGTCCATGGCCAGGATATAGAGAACATGCTCCGTTTTTATGAAGACTCACTAATGCAGGGATTCAGACAAATGGATGTTCAGGTTCCTCATCAGCTTGAATACCCATCATTCAATGTTGGTATGTTCACAATGTGTAGTGGGTACAATGTGTGAAACCTATTTCTGGTGTCCCCCGCCGTGACATTGCTGGAATATTGCAAAAAACGGCTTAAAACCAGATTCACTCACTCACTCACTCACAATGTGTGGTCACACTTACATGATAGATTACTGTCAAGAAGTATCAACCCTTTACGTGAATATAATTGATTAAAACAGTAAAATACAACAAGTTTTCAGATACTACTTTCATGAAAACTAAACCACTGGTTTGAATATATGAAAAACATTGAAAAAATATCAGTGGTCTTCAGTGTATTACGGTGGCCCATAAGGGACATGGAGTCTGTTTTTCCATATTTTGATATTTCACTTACATTTATCGTAACCTTTTGCAAATTAACACGATTTGTCTTACAAATATGTGATAAATCATGTGTAAAGAAGATATTGAATCGCTGAAAAACGAAACGAAGATGTCAAAAACTAAAATGAAAATGTCAAAAACAAAAACGAAAATGTAAAAAACCAAAAAGAAAATGTCAAAAACAAAAGCGAAAATGTCAAAAACTAAAATGAAAATACAGAAAACTATTTCCACCGAGGTGATAATATTTACACCGCGGTGAAAACTATTCCCATCGCGGTGGAAATAGTTTCCTGTGGTTTCATTTTAGTTTTTGACATTTTCGTTTTGTGTTTTTGACATTTTCTATTTTAGTTTTTGACCTTTTCGTTTTGGTTTTTGACATTTCCATTTTAGTTTTTGACTAAATAGCTACTTGAAAGTACATTTTCCATGTTTTCGGATGTTTTATACATGATTTATCACAAATTTGTATGGCAAATTGTGTTAATTTGCAAAAGGTTTCGATAAAAGTACACTTAGTGAAACATCAAAATATTGAAAAACAGACTCCATGTCCCTTATGGGCCAGCGTAGTGTATACATAATAGTTATTTTTTTCATATTTCATGGAGATTTGCTAAATAGCATGGTCTTCAGTATCACATGGGTATCCTGGACATACATATTCTATCCATTGTCAATACATTGTCATTCTGCTCGTTACATTTTCATAAGTGCTTCCAATCCAGTGTGGATAGGAATGAAGATTATCCACACGAAAACATCCTGACTTTTTGATGTTGTAACATTATGACTGCCAACACACACCACTTCAGCCACTTCTTGATGCGTATATGTCTGTGTGTTTATATTTAAATTTGGTGTGATTGTTTGAATACGTAATTCCATAGCATCTGGTACATTGTCATTGATCTATCTAGCAATTCTAATTTACCGTAATTCAAAAGAGATCTCATCAATGCAGGTCATGAAGAACACGGTTTTGACCATCACTATCTAAGGGACACTTGCTCATTCCATTTATCGTAAAGTTATTCAAATATTAATGAGAAAACATCTAACACAATGTGTTCTTTGTATGGAACCAGGTTCACACTCCACAAGGCACCAGCATGTCATCCGGGATTGCTACCACGTTCTTCGCAGGGATCTCATGCTGGATCGTACGATGCTGCTGGACCAGCTGATAGAAGATGACCTCATGTCTGCCACTGATGCTTCGAGCATGCGAAAAGACAGAAGGCGGAACGAACGCTTCCTTCATTTTTTAAATGGAAGAATAACGACAGCGGCGTTTGAACAGAAATTTCTTCCAGCTCTGAAAAAAGAACATCCCGTTTTAGAGGAAACTCTGAGAAGAAGTTTCTCAAGTTCCAAAGGCATTAACGTTCTTCATAAATGCTCTGTGTGTTACATGAAAGACACAGTTGAACTTCGTGACATTGCAGAGGACATGCTAAGTAACGATATCATTTCAATGGCAGTGACAGATGACATGAGGAACGATGCTCTAAGTCATGACGATAAATGGAAACGGTTACAGGGACATGTTAAAGACTTCAGTGCCTTTAAACACAGCCTAAAGAAGAAATATGCAAACGTGTACCAGCAGTTAATGACCGATGAAGCCAACTCATTTCAGTGTTTGTGTCAGACAAGGACGGTGTTTGACTGGACACATCCTGATTCTGGAGACATTTCGGACAAAGCATCAGTTTTTACAGCTGATGATGCAGTACGGGGTATCTAGCGTGCATTTCTGTTTCATTTGCAATAGGTATTTATGAGATAAACGTAAACACCCGAAACAAATTGCATTTGGCGTAAAAAAAAGTGGTGAAAATTACAAGAATGATGTCAAATACATCTGACAGGCTTTTGGTAATTTAATAATATCTTGTCATTTCATATCGTTTCAGGCGGACAAGGTAACTCATTGTATGATCGTGTGGCCAATCGTATTTTCCCCTTACTTGCTCAAAGGTTTCAAGAATATTTCTACACTTTCAAGGAAAGCCCGGACTTCAAAAAAGCTGTTGTGAGCTAAATCATATTTGTGGTACTGAAAAGGGAACCTGATCAACTTTTCAAATATGTAAATAAAAGCGACAATCATGTTTATGAATCACTTTCAAATAGTGATGACACTAGGTGTTCGCGAAAAGGTAAGCGAACCCTACCCAACCAGTGGCACCGTCACAAACACATGCAAAGGCAAGACAACTAACCATAGGTTGTACCACATGTTCCAATGTTCAGTAGGTGAACAACTGACTAACACCTGGTATCTTCACTATTTGATAGTGATTCATAAACACATGCTTATGATACCGTATCTGCATTTTAGGGGATTCTTATGATTATGTTTTTTGTCGCTTTGTGTCAAATAGAATTGTACCATATGCTAGTTTTAGATTCGAAAGTGAGTACAGCATGTGCCCTTCTCTTCAGAATAAGGAAATGGGTTCCCAATCTGGCAACGCGGTCTCCAGCTTTCCTTTGCAAGTAAGTTAATGACAGTTGCTAAGATGCATACATATACACTGTGTATACACTCCTTGTGTAATCGTTCTGCCCACAACGCTTTGATGTACATACTTTCGTCATTTCTTGTCTCCTGTCCAGGGTCCAACATATCCACAGTTCGCCTTCTCCCCAGCCCAGCCAGGAACAACCTTCACCACACCAAGGGGGACGTCAACTATAGGGTATCGCCACCCCTCCACGTATGGAAGTTTGCCGGGTAGGTTAATGATGACTGTCGACTAGTACGTAAGTATTAGTCATTTACTATGACCTGTGGCGGGGTCAGTGCCTAGTGGTTAAAGCGTTCGCTCGTCACGCCGAAGACACGGGTTCGATTCCCGTCTTGGGTACAATGTGTGAAGCCCATTTCTGGTGTCCCCCGGCATGATATTGCTGGAATATTGCTAAAAGTGGCGTAAAAACATACTCACTCACTTATGACCTGTGGCGTTTTGATCATTACAAGAACCTAAGAGTTGAGACACGAGTATTACTTTTTAATCAGCAGTTATATTGGAGATGATTATATTATCACACATCTGTCGACCAGCTGAATCAACTGAATCAGAAAATAGAAATATGTGAAAATAAGCTATGTTAGATGTCAATGATGTGTCAAATGTGTTCAAGGTAACTCACAGCAAGGGCCAGGGACTATTGGATCACTGCAGTATCCAATGGGATTTCCTGTTCCACCGCCGCCACCATTCCAGTCACAGTTACCTGCACCACCCATCTTCCGTTATCTGGCGCCGCCACCACCAGCACAACCACCAATGTTGTACATGCCTCTTCATGGATCACACTTCAGAACCACCATGGCTTCCCAAACAAACGGTAACTTACCTTTTAGAACCAAGGTCAAGCTACGATTAGTTCTCTTCCAGGATTAGTGAAGGCTTGTTATTGACGGCACCTATTGTTAAGAATGTATGATTAAACAGATGAATATACATGAAGGCTTTGAGACTGCCATTTGTCTCTCAGACAGGTGTGTTTTATCAAGTTTCTTCTCATTTGTAGAACCGATCTTTGTTGAGTTACACACCAACTCTCAGACACAGATGTATTTCAAGTCCTTTCTCATTTTTAGAAACAATCCTTGTTGATTTACCCACCATCTCTCAGACAGATGTATTTCATCAAGTATTGTCTCATTTGCAGAGCCATCTCAACACACAGAAGAGAACGCGATGGTAACACAACATAATATATATTTGCTTTACTAGTGATATGAATCTATTTAACCAATCACCTGAGTGAGTGAGTGAAAGTTGTTTTATGCTACAGTCAGCAATATTCCAGTTAAATCATGGCAGCATTCAAAAACTCGAGTTTGGGTGAGGCAGGCCAAGCATGGTCAACAGGGTATGGCTAGGTCACACCTTGTATTCACCCTATCCTCATTGGGCGGCTCTTTCCAAAAGCATGAGTACTGGTGACTCTATTCTGACCAGAAGTACGTGGACACCTGGTGGAATAGGTCAGTGGTGATGAACTAAATGAACAGCCTTTAAGTACATTATTAATACCACATGGACCTTGACGGCATTATTTAGGCAAGAATATTACGAAATCAACAAAGCCATATATACTGAAGAAAATAAGTTAAGGATCATGAACACATTTGGGGATATCATATATAATTGAGTTCTCAGCCTTCACAAGAAAAACATATCCGCGAAAATATTTATGACCCCGAACCCTTTTGTGTTCAGTATATTATTATATTTCAATATATTCAGTGTGGAGCCCAAGGTAGACTGCTGGTACTTGGATTCTTTGCCCTTTGGAAAATCATTGCTGAATGATTACTTTGTATGTCATGCCTATATGTGATTCTCAAAGTAATATGCAAATATCTTTTGACGGCTGTAGCCAACATTTGAAACCATAGAAGAAGAGTCAAATGAGGAGTTGGATGTGGATCTTCAAACACTGTCAGCCAAAGAGAGATACCAGTATTTAGGGAACAGACTGTACCCAAAGGTGAAGGACATCACATCTGCAAATCCAGGGAAAATAACAGGAATGCTTTTGGAACTTGACACGGAGGCTATTGAAAAAATGATGACATCAGAGGATGAACTCAGATTAAAAGTGAGTCTTGACACCAGTTATATTGTTATTTGACCTCAAAACGCATGAACTTCTCGATGCCAACATTATAGTTTTGGTTATTGCTTCAAATTATGTTACAATGTGACCCAGTGTTATACGGGTCTGCGTATTTGATGCAAATGTTAACTCAAGTGCGACGCTGCTAATACATGGATAATTGTTGTAGGTTGATGAAGCCGAACAGATATTACAGAAACATCGTGACAAGGACAAGACCCAGTGACATCAACCAGTCATCGTCCTATATAGCATCGTGTCCTGTGGTTTTGTGATATGAAGTCAACGCATTTGGAAGCAGTTTTGTAGGTCGGTAACGGTACGAGAATTAAGACATCCGGCATATATGGTTCTTGTTAGACCTAGTGATATGACAACGGATCAAGGACTTGATGGTCCATCTCAACATGTGACTTACAGCAAATGATACATGAAGAAATTATCTTGACCTACTTGTGTCTTCTTGTGTCCTACTATCGCCTGCAATATGCCATCAAATATGTGAGTGAGGGAGTATGGTTTTACGCCGCTTTTAGCAATATTCCAGCAATATCACGGCGGGAGACACAGAAATGGGCTTCACACATTGTACCCATGTCGGGAATCGAGCCCCCGGGTCTTCGACGTGATGAGCGAATGATTTAACCACTAGGCTAGCCGAATATATGTTTCACTAAGACCTTCCAAGATTACAGGGTCAACATAACTATGTAACTGAAACCTGCCCCTTTTCATATTTCTACATCAGGATGTATGTATCGACATGAGACATGCGTGCTGACTCTCATCCTACAGCTATGAATTGTCATGTGCATGAAGTAAAATCATGTCAATCTGGGCAGCATGGAAATATAGACTTTAATAAAGTCATGGTACGTCAAATGATCAGCAAAGATTTGAAACCGTTAGAAGATGAAGATTATGGGGCGAGTTGAAACGCAAAACCATAATACTGCAACAGCTGGCACATCCACCTACAGTCGTTTTGTTAAAAGGTCTCAGTTTCTTATCTCAGATATATCACAACACATCACATTGTGAGAAGAAAGGCCAAATGGCAAGGTGCTGATCATCGAATCCTGGCATGGACAGGGGAAGCAACCCTGCACATGAAATTGTGGTGGCTCAAACCAATGGAGCACCTGTAATCCCAAGTATTTGTAGGACATGACAACTTCTAAACAAGGGTTTTGGTTTGTTTGTTGTGTAACGCTGAACCCAGAAATATTCCAGCTATATGAAGGACATAACAGGTATCCAATAGATATTCTAAATACAGAGTAGGGTTTTTTCGATTCTGAGATTTCAATTTGAGATTTTGAAATTAAGCTGATATTAATTTGACAGAAAATGTTTTTAATCCTTGTCAATGGGCAGACTCAAACACTGATAATACAAATTAAAGGTTACAAATGCAAGCTGTTCCTGCAAGTAGGGGCAAGGAATAGGGGAGCCTTGAGGTACATTTGGAACAGAACACAAGATGTAATACATAACATCAGCACACAAAACTGCTTCTTTTAGGGCGCTTCTTATTAATGGTCTTTTAGGTAAAATTACAAAATGTTAGGTCAAATTCACAGTGTCACAATGGGAGGTCTGCACTCATAAGTGGATGCAAGGTTTAGAATTAAATAACAAGGTTCCTCCTTTTCCTCTTAACGTGTTCTTAATAGTCGACTATCACATTACAACACTACAGAAAACAAATTGTCTATAATATACAGCCAAACGTATCGCATAGAGATGATTCAAATTCAGTTTGACAATGCATCCTACTCATAACTGTATTCTCAAGGTAACAGTCGTTAGTAAAAATCCAGTCTGTAAAGATACGCCCTCTTATCAGCATATCAGTATTGATACTGCGGACTATAAATTCTAAAGACAACACGTAACACATGAATGTTTGCAGATTGTTTTACTTCCATGTCTCTGGGTCATACAGACGAGATCACATGCAATACTAGTATATGATATATCGCCAAATAACTTATCACATAGTATGTATACACACAACAAGTTACATAGTCTGTACAGTCAACAGTTTCCTCACACAAGTACTTTACACAACAAATAAGCAAATCTAAAATATCAATAACATGATGAAGCACATGGAATATTAACTGTATACATTTGCTCTAAACAAATACATATGTACATTTTAGTACAAATTGTTTTAATTTTTTAGAAAAAGCAGTTTGTCCAACATATAAGACTTGTTAATATGGGTTGGATGAGGTGTATTGTCCTGAGATGTAATTTATGAAAATATGATGTGTAGAGTTACCTGCCCTTGTGTGTTGAAATTTGGATAAGAATAAAGCATACTTCCGCAGACACAACACAATAAATAAAACAAGTGGGTGGGTAAACATTGTGTTGGCCCAATTTGAGAAAACCATACCATACACTCACAGGTCCCTGTAAAATACACATGTGATTCCCTTTTAAAACACTTTAATGATCTGAGGTCAATTATCCTCTATTTCAATGTTAATGTTCTGAATGATCATATACATATACAGTACTGTGATTTTTCCGTATATTCAGGCATTTCAAGCATATAAAACACTTCCATATATAGTAGGGGTGGTGGGGAAGCCTTGTGGTTAAAGGATTCGTTCGTCACACCGAAGACCTGGTTCGATTCCCCACATGGGTACAATGGCCTATTACGAACAAAGTCACTTGCCTAAGGTGACACCACATGTGCTTCAGTGTGGGGCAGGACCAAAGCCCCAGAAACTCAGGAGGCAAGCTGCCGACACGCAGTCACCCATACACATGATACAAGGACTCTCGACCGATGTTGCTTAACTTCACCTGATTTGTGACCTGTGTGGTAAAACTGAACTCTTCTTCCTTTACTCAAATAACACTGCTTCCCAGTGAGAATTATTCCAGGACAACTTACATTATACCAGGAGTGAGTGAGTGAGTTTGGTTTTACGCCGCTTTTAGCAATATTCCAGCAATATCACGGCGGGAGACACCAGAAATGAGCTTCACACACTGTACCCATGTCGGGAATCGAACCCGGGTCTTCGGCCTAACGAACAAATGCTTTAACCACTTAGGGTACCCGACCACCCCCTAAAAGAAAGACATCTGTATATATGGAGATGATGATATAACATGAAACCTGACAAACACAATACTATATTGCACAGTGGAACTTGCTAATCTGTCCCCTGTGAACTTGTCCGAATTATCAATTGTCCAGATAAACAAATCATCCATACAGAGTCAAGGACCCTTTGTACAACTGTGAGTGTTACTGACAGAATTTGTCCAGTGGGTAGGGATTAAGGAAGAACGGGTTCCGGACTCACGATGTTTCACTGTACACTGCAATATTGGTTGTCACAAATGATCAAATATAGTTGGGATGTCAGCCTGCTTGGTAATACATATGAACATAGTGATAAAGACCACACAATTACATTTCATTTTAATGCAACAGTGAAAAAGATCAATCATGTTACTTTTCAACAAATAATAGATGGGCAAAGATCTGAACATTTTGACATTATGTGAATGGAATAAATCTGATCAGAAGACCAAAACTTTACACGATTTAAATACAAAACAGAGGGAACACACCTTACAAAACAATCATGAAGTACTGATAAATAACACTATCATCTACTGTACAGACCCCAGACCTGTCGCTTCAGAACTGCATATATATACATGTATAGATAAATGCGCACCAAGGTTATATAATTTAGGACGCAATGATACACTGTGTTGCAATGTATAGATCTATACAACATGTACAAAGGGCATCACACTTGTGAAGATAAGGTAAACAAACAGATATTCCATCATCGCAAGGAATGACTAGAGCCTGGGGATGACTATTCGGGTCCAGACACAAATCTTGGTTTTTTCTTGCCATATGTGCAGTGTCAGTTATGCCTGTATCGCCATTCGACCGTTCGGACCTATTTTCTGTTAGTTGAACCTATTCTATGTTAAGCAGCCAAAATATTTCACATAAAAATTGCCCACACGAACAAATAGTTTGATCTAGTTGTCCACGCCCTGCTACACACACCCCTGTCACAAGAGGGTACATCCCGGGCCGCATGGGAGGGTACTGAGACTTATTTTGCTCCATGTGATAGGAACATATTCAACCTCATGTTGAGTGCCAATGCAGCAGCCATAACAGTCCCATGACAGGATTTGAACCACAGATTTTTTCATCCAAGGGCACACACCTTGTCCACATGACCAAAGTGGTTTACCCTCTCAGCAAGCTGACAAGGTAAGGATGGCATCTGCGGGATGACTCCACACCCTGCTACACTGACAAGGTAAGGATGTCATCTGTGGGATGACTCCACACCCTGCTACACTTACAAGGTAAGGATGTCATCTGTGGGATGACTCCACACCCTGCTACAATTGCACTATGTTATGCCACAACTTAACTTTCAGCAAAAATAAAAAAAGGATTTTTCAGAAAACAATTTTAACTATATTTTCAAAACCAAAGCAAATCATCCAGCAAGCTTGAGAAGACTTGAAGTAGTCCTCTCTACAGACTTAAACATCCATCTTCTTAAATTTACCGACATTATCAAAAAATTATTCTTCTATTAAAAATCACATGTCCACAATTACGCACAGTGAATGACTCTTGCTTAATGTCGCATCAGCAATTTTGCAGCTAATTGTGACACAGTTACATACAACACAGTAACAATAATTCCAGTTAAAATGATATTTCTAATTTACCATTAGTCCTGATGGATATACATCACACAAACATCGTCAGTGATAACATGATTATATACTGGTGGTGATTTCTGTACAAATGCACACATACAGCTTCTACACACACACAGTACACCTGTGCCACACCCTGACTCTCTGACAGGCACACTGCTACTTGGTCTAGAAGGACATGACTCAGTCTACAGGGAATAGGCTCTGACTGGACGATGACATGCTCTTCGTCTGTCTCACTTTGCGTATTGCATTGTCCAAGTCGCAGAAAGTTATCCGTCTTCGGTCGACAAGATTTTCCACCCTGAGAAGAAAAACATGTTATATGAACTTAAATTGAACCTTTCACTGTCAAGATTCTTAAACTCACATAATGATCATCTTATCTTTCTCACTGATGTTTATCAAAATATTCTCTTGCAATAAAAAGCAACAGTGAGGTGAGTTGAAATGTGGTTGAACATTGTTCGTTGAACTAGAATGGACAAATGCTGGTTTTATGGTGCTAGTTCACTGAGATACCATACTGCAGTTTAACATGGATACCCCACTCAGACACAGTATACTGACTCCGAGGCAAACAGTTTCATCCCCTTAGTGCCTAGCGACAGACAAGTTAACAACAAGTACCTTCTTTTTAGCCTTTTGGAATGAAGCGGCCAGGAATTGAACCCCGACCTTCTGCTCTCAAGGCAGATGCTGCATCCACTAGACCACGGAGGAATTTCAGAATCTTAAGTAAGTCTCACCCAGCTTCCCCGGGGCTGTTGTTCCTCTGCATGACCAGCTCCTGGACCGTCGTGATGGCCGCTGACCGACACACCTCCCGCAGATCACTCCCAGAGAAGTCTGTGGTCACCTCAGCCAGACGATCATAGTCAATCTCACTGACCTGGAGGGATTAAATCAAGCACATGACATAGAAACAAACTACTTTACACATTTCTAATCTACAGGAAAAAGAGAGATCTACAAGCTGCATGTTCTCTCACTAACTTTGAACAAGCAGACCAGTGGCTGGGTCATTGTTAAAAAATTAGTTCTCGGGGTGTAACACAAAGTTGAGGTCACAAAAGGATCAAGAAGCCACTAAAACACAGTAAAACACAGTAAAACACAGTAAAACACAGTAAAAACACAGTAAAACAGACATCTTGTATACTTACATGTTCCTTTTCCAGTATAAGCTTGAGAATCTGCTTCCTTGCACTCTTTATCTGAAGGAAATGATGTAAACTATAAAAAATATAAATATGAAACACATCTGAACAACACAATATTGATGAGGATCCAATTAAATTTGAAATACACTAAACATGCTAAATACATCTCTTTGAAACCATTTTATGGAACATGTCAAAGGACAGTTGAAATATATAAGATATTAAACTTATTTCTAACCCTGTCAAAAGTCAGTTAGCATTAGCATATTAATGCTGTATTTTTCTTGAATCCATGGAAAATATTGGTCAATATGTTTTCAGTCATGTTTTTGTCACATTAATAGATATGAACAAGAAGAATGATCGTCACTCCATGTCACGCTGTTACACTGTTCTTTATTTTCACTTGTCCACAAAAACAATCAGCTACCGAGTTGTCGTCCACATGGAAATGTCACTTCCTGGGCCCACTTGCACAAAGCGATCTTAGTGCTTAGATGATCGTAACTCCCATACTTTAGCATAGGCTTACAATAGTCGTAGCGCTAAGATCGCTTTGTGCAAGTGGGCACATGATGGGCCATATCAGTGTTTATACAGGCCCAGTGACCTAACCAGTTTCACACAAGAGGACAGGGGTGTCACTGACTGAAAATTTTAGGTTCGGTACAAAGAGAATATTCCATGTGTCGAGTTCTAGCATTAATTAACTGCGCATTTATGTCTCCAAAATGGCTATCAACAATAAGACGGCCTCACTTCACACTTAGGATAGCGGAAATACAAACTTTAATATAAACACAAACACGGTTTATTGAGCAGCAGTTGTAACAAGTATATAACAATGTCATTCAAAGAATAGGAATTACACAAAGGGCATCGGTGAGTTATCACTGCTGGGGTCAAGAATTCTACCCACTCATGTCAAGCTTGTTGACACCTTCTCCTCATACCAATCTGTGAACTGTTGTTGGTTCAATTATTTTATTGCCTGTTTTTAGGAAAACAATGTTTATTGTTTTTAAGGGATGTGCTCTACTCAGCACTGATAAGCGGTGCTATTTGTGTTTGATTGGAGGATATGCATCATTCCACTGGGGATGGGGTGGGGGGGGGGGGGGGAGTCGCATTGATATTGAGTCGCAGTTTTGGCTAGGGATCAGCAGTTGCATTAATTTCCAGATTTACAGTATCATGTTTCTCATCAAGTGATGGGTAAAGGAGATATGTGCACGAGCTGTGTAGTAAAAAGTATATAATAAATTGACTCAAGCCCTCCAAAAGCATCACATAATACATTGATATATCAATTAAGAAGAAAATTAATCAGATCGTTATATATATATATATATATATATATATATATATATATATAAATAGTTTTTGCTAGGGCTCCAGTAAAACAATACCCAAGCAGACATTTTGTCCCCAACTCTTGAGACCTACAGCGGGTACCCGGTAGGGCTGGGATGGGTTACTCAGGTACTCGGCCAGGTGGGTGATGAGTTGGACCCAGGTACCCACAGTACTACCCGGACCCGATGTAAAGTCATGTTATATATTGTTTAATGACAAACACTAACTATAGCTCAGTGGTAACAGGTTACACTACAAGTCGCAAATGTTCGAAATTCTTTCTGACGATGCACACATTCCTATGACTTTTATATGTTTGAGTCAAGATGAAGCTTTAGTCAACTTCAGTGTACGCATAATCTGATCATTTGATACATGTATCTGAATAGCTTTTGCCAGGGCTGTGGTAAATACAATTCCCAATCAGACATTGTGTACTCATCTCTTGAGACCTACAGCAGGTACTTGAGTGGGGTGGGTAATAGTGGGTCGGGTACCCAGATACTAAATTTGGACTCATCCCAGCCCTACAAGCAATGACAAGAGGAGCAGAGTGTCAAACTGATGATGTTGGGACCCGTGGTGAACATAATTAAATTAATTAAGAAGCCAGCTCAAGAATAAATGACAAATTGTTGACTGACCGGCAAACCAATCTTAAACATGCTGGGCATTCGTCTCAAGATGGCAGCGTCCACGTCCTGGGGTCTGTTGGTGGCTCCCATCACCATCACGTGGCAGTTAGGGTCTGTGATCAGACCGTCCCAGAAACTCATGAACTGGGTCTTTATCATCACTGTTGCCTCATGGTCTGTGGAAGATCTAGACCGTAGGAAGGAATCTATTCACAGAAAGAAGAGATGCTCAGTGCCAATAAATAAATAATACAGGGGAATAACTTTAGGTTATAATGTGGAGCAGTGTTTGGGTGAGTGAAATATCAACCATATTGTGAAGTGTCTAGCCACTCATGTCAAGATTGGCGTATTGTAGAATTTTCCGCCTTGGTGTTTACTTCCGCTGGTCGGAAGGAACGCTAGCAGTCAGGATTTGGGTTGTAGGTGCTCCCCGCCGCCTACTGTGGTAGTCAGCCTCGGTATAACATGATAACAGTGGTAACGTGTTACTTAATGTAATTTGTAGAATTTTCCTATTCGGAATATTCTATAAGTAATACGTTACCACTGGGCTGCTGCCCGCCCGTCCGTCCCCCGAGCACTTGCTCTCGCAAGAGACAAGAGTGAAGGGTGTCACATGGCAGCTAGGTGGCTACGCACGTGCTGCATGAGGTAATTGAGATCTCTGTGGTAGATTTCGCTATAGCAGCAGTTGTGGGAGACAACAGCCTCGGTAAAACAGTGGTAACGTATTACTTAATGTAATTAACCATGACAGTGACTTGAGGTAGGCTGAATGTTGTGTAACTCCTTTTCAGCAACTTATGTTATGTGCTTATATTAACTGACTTCTCTGTAAAAAGTGTACTATGAAATGAAATGGGGTTATGGGTCACATTTCAAGATGATTGCACTTATATAGTAATGGGCATGCACATGTCACAATGTGTGTGTGTGTGTCTGCTTGTACCAGTACAAACTAATGACAGTTTATAGTGCTAGCCCCCTGAGAAACCATACCGCAATGGATACCCCACTCACAAAAACAGTATACAGACTTTGAGACAAGTTCTTGTTTTATTCCCTTAATGCTGAGCGCCAGGCAAGGCAACAACAAGTACCACCGTTTTATGTCTTTGGGTATGACGCAGCTGGAGATCAACAACCGACCTTCCGCTCCCTGGGCAGATGGTTTATCCACTAGACATGGAGGTGGTAAAATGTGCAGTGACTTATGTATACCATTCTACCATGTACATTTACTGTGGAAATGAAATATAGACAGTAGAAACCTACCTATTTCATCTATGAAAATGATTGTCGGCTGTAACTTGATTGCCTGCAAAGAGACATGAATGAATATCACTGGCAAGGTAATACAATGATCATGCAAATATTATGGGAAAGCTGAAGTCAATGCATATGTTATTCATGATATTCTTTTTTCAAGACATATCATCAAATAATTTTGAATACCTCATCATCTCCATATGTTTACTTGTTCAGCACACTTCAAACGAAAAAGGGGTGTCTCAGCCTCAGAATATTTTTTTTGGCATGAATTTCGAAGGCTGGGTCTGCTTATGTGTAAATTAACAGATTTACAACAGATAGTTGTGGTTTACAGCATTCTTCAGTTTTTATATACATTGTTTCATTTGTTTGTCTTTTAATGCCTCTCAGGAATATTCCAGCTCTATGAAGGCAGCAAGTAAATAATCGAGTCTGGACCAAACAATCAAGTGATTGATATCATGAGCAACCATCCACAACGTTGGGTTATGATGACACACGATGTAAGCAATCAACCAAAGACACCAAGCCTGACTACCCGATCCATTAAGCTGCCTCACACAACCAGCACAGGTTACTTGGGACCTAACCCAGACTCCCCACAGGGTGATAAACACTGATACTTGATACTAATGCTGTAACTGGTATTTTCCGAGGATTATAACCACTAGTTGAGGTTTGTCAGTTACACTACCACACTCACATCAGGATCTGGCAAGTGTGGGTCATACACAACATATAAAACTGAGACTAAATCAAAAACAAATTTTCCAATAATGATTTCCCATGTTTGTGTAACCATGGTAACTAAACTGTTGACTCACTAATGAGAAGACAGCCTCCGCTCTTTTCTGGGACTCTCCGTACCACTTGTCTACGAGGGAAGAAATCTGTAGGTTTAAAAACCGAGCGCCTACAAAAAACAAAAACTCATTTTTGACAATGTTTTAACATGTGGAAGTTAGCACCTGATCAAAGTTGACATCAGTTGTAATTGCCACGAATGAAGGTGTGAGTTGGGTTTAACAATGCTTTCAACAGAATTCCATTTATTTCAAGGCATGTCAGCTTAATGTGGGAGGAAAGCCCGAAGTGATGCAAAGAACAACGAAGAACAATAAAACACTGTTCTATCATGATGTCATTTCTGGTGGTTCCAATATGCGCTCACAACTAGATGACGTCATATATTGGACAACGTTATTTTTTAGAGGAAAGTGTCTAGTAAGTTGTTCCCCACAGTCAACTGGGCTACACAGATAAATGCAATGGCCAAACAATCGCATCCAAAAGTGGGAGAGATATGACAATCAGTATTAGGTGAAAAGGTACAGATGATGACATGAGGATTGTGCAAATATGCGAGAATTACCAAACTTAACCCATCTGTTCGAAAAATTGACTTGTCTGACATTTCCGAGGTTGGATTCTTATCAGGGAGTCATAATCAAAATTGAAGAGGCTGTACACAATGTTGATATTTCACATAAGAAAAAACAATTTGTGGTCCTTATTTATCGTACAATAAAACACTGCACCTCTCATGGTTTATTCTCCCTGCAGTGTTTTATTGTACAGTAAACAACTCCCACACGTCATTTATTTCTTCAATAAATTCAGGTTTTTGAAGACACCATACCTGCAGCCTTTGCTGTGGCCTTTGCTAGCATCGTCTTGCCACATCCGGGCGGCCCATACAGCAGGACACCTGATTACAGCAATAGTCATCATCATGGTGATCATCCACATCCGTGTAGTCATGGCAATAACTTGGGATTACATCATCCATCATTAGTGAATGTCATCAATAACACATCAAACTGCTTAAGATATACAACCTTCCACTCTCTGGGCAGACGCAGACGCTCTGTCCACTATGAAGGCGGTCCGTATTATGATTTAACAAGTTATACATTCCAAAGGAAGTCAAGGGGTAAGTTTGGGAATATCATATACAGATTAAATCAAAATAATGCATTTCTAAACATTTGATATATGTACATGACATATATAACAGTGCATGTTAATTCAAATGTTCCTCAAACTTTCATTATGGACAATGTATCATTACAAGGATAAAACAATCAGAAACAGTTCTGTTTTTGTTGTTTTTTGTTTTTGTAATGCCGCACTCAGCAATCAATATTCCAGCTGTATGAAGGCAATCTGTAAATAATCAAGTCTGTACCAGACAATCCAGTGATTGACATCATGAGCATCGATCCACGCAATTGGGATACAATGACATAGATCAACCAAGCCAGGAGGCCTGACCACCCGATTCCATTAGTCGCCTTTTACGACATGCATGGGCTGCTGAGGACCTATTCTACCCCGGATCTTCACGGGTCCAATCAGAAACAGAATACCATTCAATTTGCATGACATAACACTAAATATTGATACATTTTACAGCACACCAAACAAGATTTTCCGTCACACCTTTAGGTGGCTGCAGTAGTTGTGAATTCCTGAACAGCTCGCTGTGAGTGAAAGGCAGGATGACAGTCTCCTTGATGTCTTTGACGAGGATGTCCAACCCTCCGATGTCCTCCCACGAGATGTCAATTGTCAGAGGGTCCACCAGGTTGGAGGCGATGCACAGCTCATACTCAGACAACTAAACAGAGAGAGTGAGTGAGTGAGTTGGGTTGGGTTTAATACTACTTTGAACAGTATTTCCATCATATCATGGCATGTCAGCTTGATACGTAGGGCAGCCCAAAGATTGCAGATCTTAAAATTTGCCATTTGAATCCCAAGAGCATGGGCGTGGTGCTGGCAAACTATTGGGATAAGAACCCAGGATTAAATGTTTCTCGCATGCCTAAGGGACACAACTCTTCAAAATGACTTGCAGTGCCTTAGACAACAGGGCCTACCTTCCCCCAATGAAAGGAAAGAGCCAAAACATTGATAATCATTGATATAAGCATTACTGTTATGACTACTTAATCACTAACATGATTAATACCTTCATGAACGACAAATACACATAAATAATTTGGATTATCCCATCATTAAGAATGACATGTCCTTACATCATTGTATATTATGAATATGTCCAGAACATGAATTATTTATCATCATGACCAACATGACAGAAAAAATATAAAACACGACAATGTTAAACATGTTAAACATCATGAAGAAGACTACCAGGGAGACACATGTGATAGAATCAGGAAAATGGCTGGAAATAACTCGAAAAACATCCTTGTGACCAACATGGCGAAGGCATGCTGAAACTTCACCCAAGCCGATTTCACATTTACAGAAGTATGTGGATTTGAGGAAATCTTAAACTTCATCACTGAATACAGCACATGAGGTATGAATATCAACATGATAACAGTAACAAATGTTAAACCGGTATTTGGGACAACACTTTCTTGTAAAGTACAAATTCTAGTACTTATTTTTGGCTGAGTCCCATCCAGGATTCAAACCCGGACTCTCAGAGTGATCAAGTCCGACAACTGGTAGTCTAGATGACATACTTTGTGTACATCAGTGGCATTGTGTATTCATGACAACAGTGTATTTTAAACATATATTGAACATGTTAAATAGATCACATCAACATGTTCAACATTCATGACTTTGAGAAATCAAATATTTCCAATTGAACAATCATTATGATATCATGGTTATCATTATCATATATCATTATCAACATTGCTTTTTCATAGGAGGTATCATCTTGACGTATAGTCGTGTTAGTTAACATGATAAGCATGATGAAAGAATGAGTGCTTGAATACCTTTTGCACATTTTCAACTCCAAGACGCTTTAACATCTTCTGAGCCTGCAACACAAAAGAGCTGAAATTATCATCATGATGAAACTTTACCATTAATACAGTTATTATCTGATTAATGAATCAGATTCAGATTATCAATATATTGATAAGCCAAAAAACATATAAAAAACAACAAATGTTATTAGCATGATTAGAAAATGGGTTTTAAAACACCAAGATAAACAATGATAAATCTCAAACGTTTACCATATGTTAACGTGGTGATTACACCAGTGAGTATACATGTACTAATTAATAGTGATCATAAATTATAACATAGTAAAGATTACCATTTACAATTGGGCTGAAAGGTAAGTACAGAATTGTTTGAACAATTGGTTCAAAGTGCACTGTACTTTCACAGTGGTGTTAGATCAGAGTGTTAGGAAAGGTACTAGATACAGTCAAGTCCCGTTAATCTGACATAATCATATGCAACCAACGAGTATGTTGGATAAACGAAATTAGGTAGTATAAACGTTCGTGATCGAAAATTGGACAACAACACGATAGATAACGATACCAACACGTAGGAAAATGAAAAATGAAATATTCATATTGTTGTGTTACATTGTCAGTGGAATATGTTTTCTAATCATAAGGTTTAACACAAAACTACTGTTACCAACTGTATGACTGATTCAAAATTGACTGATTTTTAAAGCATAGTCTGGAATGGAAGTCGCTGATGTAAAACTAGTGCCGCAATGCTTAAGAAAGCTGCTTTCTTAGTGGCTTATGTCGACTTCCTGCTAGTAATTTCATTGGTCGGTCAAAGTTCGCTAAAGGTCATCCTGACATGACCTGTAATGGGATGTCCTCAGTGGTAGCGAGAACTTGTATCCGATTTTAATGAGATTGAGGTAATCTAGGCATGTGATTAATCCTGTTTTGTTTATTTAAAGCAGTAATTGTATTGTTAAGCAAGTTTATCTCTGCAGCCGTTGAAATATGCAGCTACTTGCCGACTCGTCTTGCATCAAAACACGGGGCTGTGTACTCATGGGCAGATGACATCAGAGTAAGCTGATCACTGTGTCGGATTAACGAGACTGATTAATAAGTGATTTCAGCAATTCGTTGCAAATTTAGTGTGTCGGAGTCGGAGTGCGAGACTGTCGGATTAACGGGTCTAAATAGCACTGATTAAATCGGTTTCCATCATTTGTGTCGGATAAAGCCGATTGTTGGATGCACGAGTGTGGGATTAACGAGACTTGACTGTATATCTAAGATAATTGCTCACCACTATGTGAAATGCTTAGTTTTGTTTCTACAAACTGCTAATGTTGAAAATGTCAACTTCAAGATAAAGGTACAAAATTCTACCGCAAAAGTTGGAACCAAGTCCAAGGTTTGAGATAGTACTATGTCTTTTTATCTTATATTCAAGAAATTAAAGCAGTCAGATTTATAAGTATTATTATAGTAAGGCAGTTGGGACCGGGGAATAAGTTTGAGATATTGGTACCTTCAAGATAATGGATCTCAAGGTAATGGGTGCAACTGTACTAATTTATAGTGCTAACAAATTTGAACATAGATGTCTTTATTTGTTTATTGTGTCCCTTGCTAACAACATGAAAAATGATGAATAACATTTTGCCTCCTCACAAACATAACACACCAAGATTGGTTTGGTTGGTTTGTTGTTTAACGCCGCACTCAGCAATATTCAAGCTATATGACGTCGGTCTGTAAATAATTGAGTCTGGACCAGACAATCCAGTGATTAATATCATGAGCATCAATCCACGCAATTGGGATCGATGACAGGCATCAACCAAGTTAGCGAGCCTGACCAACCGATCCCGTTAGTCGCCTTTTACGACAAGCATAGTCGGCTTTTACGGCAAGCATGGGTTGCTCCAAGAATGTGGAATGTGAAAGTAGATGGAAATACAAAATGTTCAAAAGTTTATCAATTAAATGTTTTCAATGTACAATTGTAGTTGCTAACAGTTCTAAATAACCTTACTGGTTACACTAACATGACAAAATGCATTATTAATAATATCATCAACATGGCGAGTAGACCTTCTTCATCACCTTCATGAAGAGCTGTTTGAAAGTTAACCATGTAAACATGTCTTTTGGCTTTCTATTCAATGTTATTCAAACTGTAAAGCTTGTTTCAAGAACCTGTTAAAAACTTTCATCTAGATTGACCTCTATGAACAGGCTGATGGCAACCATTTGCATAGTTACATCAGACCAGTTCAGTTCATTCACAGCGGAACAGATATGGGTAGTATGGAGAGTATTAATCAAATCATAATTCATGCATGCAACCAGACATGTCCCGTCACCAAATCATACCCTGTCCTGGGCCTCCTTTTTGTCCTTTCGAGTTGGGTCCATTGCGTTGACCAAATATTTCACCCCAAAATATGTGATAGTGAAGGATGCTGCCAGACCAACGATGGTGGATATAATTTTCGACAAGAGTTCTTGTCGGGAAATACTTCTGCTAGCTTCGTGCAGTGGCCCCGGCATTGTTTGGCTTGGTTGCTCTCTCACGATCTCATCAAAAGTCAAACTTGATGTGTACTTGTGTATTATTCCTGAGAAGTCACGTTTAAGTTCTTTCAACAAGGAAGTGTCCATGCTGGTTTCTACAACAGTATGAATGCCACCGGAAGACGGAATATGACTAAAGTCATTATTATGCTTTGGAGTTTGCAATATGAAAATGTGATATAGAATTTGTATTTGTACATAATCAATCTAATTTGTGAAATGCCACTTTGAAAATAAGTGACTTTCAGACATAAGATACTTTATTTCGTATCATGAGTTTAGTTTTGATAAGCTGGACTTTCGTATTTTCAACATAGAAGAGTTCAAAATGGCGGCAAATTGCTGACTTTCGAAATTGTTAGTTATGACATCGAAAGAACTTCCTGTGTTCCGATTTTATGACAGGAAATCTAAGCGGTAAATTACGACAAAGAGTTCAACCCAGTATTGAAAGACACTCCATGTATTTTGGTTGTGGTGTCTATTTGACATATTTTGAGGTTTCGTAGCGCAATATTAACGCCGTTTAGGGAGTCGGTTAATGCTACCAGTATTAAACCATAAGCAATTTCTTTACAGAATATTATTTCTGCCTATAAGTCAAAATCTTCAAACTGTTATAAGTGACAGCGGGTTTCCTGACTGCAGTAAAAGTGTGGTGACATTTTGATGTACTGATTACAATGTTTATTGTCATTTTGTAGTGTAGTGAGGTTATAAAATTTTTGAAAAGGGAGGGCAGATGTATATTACTGTACCTGTTGGCATGATTAGAAATTTAGCAAATGAAACATTTTGGTTTAATATTCTAAATCAAATGAGCAAAGTTTTTTCAAATGTTTTTATCATGTTTATGTTACGCTCACTATTTTCCTTTGAACTTTGTTTCTACTTAAATATCCTTGACAGTATTTATACCTTGAAAGTATTCACAGTGCCCCTGAGATCCCCCCCCCCCCCCCCCCCTCAAACGTTCTCCGTTGCCTAAATGTCTTCATGAGCAGTAAACCAGCCTAGTGCAGCAAACATTTATATTGATTTTATTATGTACTGTTATGTATGATTATCCTTCTTCAGAAGAAGACATGAACTGGAACAAAATGTCGAAAACAGAGTGAAAAGATTCAAGGATGAAAAGCTTCCACATGAATTCAAGCACAGGTAATAATCACCTGTTGTATATGTTTTAGTTCTCTCTTTTCATGTTGTATAACAGCACACATACACGTGGGTTATGAGGATGGAGAAAACAGCAGGAATAAATGCTCTGAAATAAACAGTACAACATTTGCTGAAATTTTATATCAGATCCTTTCTTGTCTGTTTTATAAAAAAATCAGTATGTCTTCATGTGCAAAAAATATATAAAATGCTTTGACTTTACATTCTTTAGTCCTATAATCATGATAATATGTATTACAATTTTTATTACAATTTACCTATTGTTTTTGTATCCAAGTTTCCACCATGCCACCATGTATGTATAAGGTACTTGGGTATGTGGCCTTAATCATGTTTATAATGAAATAAATGTGCTAAAATTAGCAAACAATCAAGCACACAGTTGATTAAAATATTATACTCTGTTCAATCTACTTTATCTGTTTTCAATCACATAAAGTCAGCATTTGATGACATATAAATAGAAATGAGATTAGTTCTATGTTGTCATCATGATTAGTTAACCTTCAATCTGTTTCAATTATGTTTCAGCATAACTGGACCAAGCACTGAATGGAAAACATTTTATCGACAACAAGATGCCTTCGACTTCACTCGGAGTAAAATTGATGTAAGGTGATACAGTTGCTCTTCCAGATCCAACCCATTAACTAACTTCATGACCACTTAAGAATATCAGTGTACATGCTACAGAACTTCTCCAAGGAATACCTCCATTTGTCTATGTTCCAAGAATACCTCCATGTGTTTGTATTCCAGAAAGGCCTCTATGTGTTTGTGTTCCAGCATGACCTCCATGTTGTCTTCCAGCATGACCTCCGTGTTGTCTTCCAGCATGACCTCCATGTTGTGTTCCAGGATGACCTCCATGTTGTGTTCCAGGATGACCTCTATGTGCTTGTGTTCCAAGAATACCTCCATGTGTTTGTGTTCCAGCATGACCTCCATGTGTTTGTGTTCTAGCATGACCTCCATGTTGTGTTCCAGCGTGACCTCTATGTGCTTGTGTTCCAAGAATACCTCCATGTGTTTGTCTTCCAGCATGACCTCCATGTGTTTGTGTTCTAGCATGACCTCCATGTGTTTGTCTTCCAGCATGACCTCCATGTTGTCTTCCAGCATGACCTCCATGTTGTGTTCCAGGATGACCTCTATGTGCTTGTGTTCCAAGAATACCTCCATGTGTTTGTGTTCCAGCATGACCTCCATGTGTTTGTGTTCCAGCATGACCTCCATGTGTTTGTCTTCCAGCATGACCTCCATGTTGTGTTCCAGGATGACCTCTATGTGCTTGTGTTCCAAGAATACCTCCATGTGTTTGTGTTCCAGCATGACCTCCATGTGTTTGTCTTCCAGCATGACCTCCATGTGTTTGTGTTCTAGCATGACCTCCATGTGTTTGTCTTCCAGCATGACCTCCATGTTGTCTTCCAGCATGACCTCCATGTTGTGTTCCAGGATGACCTCTATGTGCTTGTGTTCCAAGAATACCTCCATGTGTTTGTGTTCCAGCATGACCTCCATGTGTTTGTGTTCCAGCATGACCTCCATGTGTTTGTCTTCCAGCATGACCTCCATGTTGTGTTCCAGGATGACCTCTATGTGCTTGTGTTCCAAGAACACCTCCATGTGTTTGTGTTCCAGCATGACCACCATGTGTTTGTGTTCTAGCATGACCTCCATGTGTTTGTCTTCCAGCATGACCTCCATGTTGTCTTCCAGCATGACCTCATTGTTGTCTTCCAGGATGACCTCTATGTGCTTGTGTTCCAAGAATACCTCCATGTGTTTGTGTTCCAGCATGACCTCCATGTGTTTGTGTTCTAGCATGACCTCCATGTTGTGTTCCAGGATGACCTCTATGTGCTTGTGTTCCAAGAATACCTCCATGTGTTTGTGTTCCAGCATGACCTCCATGTGTTTGTGTTCCAGCATGACCTCCATGTGTTTGTGTTCCAGCATGACCTCCATGTTGTCTTCCAGCATGACCTCCATATTCTCTTCTACAATGACCTCCATGTCCTTCTGTTACAGGATGACCTCCATATCTCCATTTCACGACCGTCACGATATGGCTGAAATACTGCCGATGTGACGTAAAGCATTAACTCACTCACTCACTCCATTCCACGATGACCTCCATGTGCTTGTGTTACAGGATGACCTCCATGTGCTTGTGTTACAGGATGACCTCCATGTGTTTGCCTATGAGAGTGACACCCTGGGGGGAGACTCGGGACAGAGGATGTACCTCGTGGCCAGCTACCCCACATTCTGGCACTACTACAGGTATACTCACAGTTGCTTACAGGTCATCTTTGGGATGAGACCTCTTGTGAGTTGCACGAAGAGCCAACCAAGGAGATTAACAGAAACATAGGGAATCAGAATATTCCCCTTCTTTATATATACCTATCCTGACTACAGTATACAGTATTCCATCTTGCTTCGATTATATAACAGTGTTGGACATTGTGAAAACAATAATGAACCGAACTCACCTTCCGACCACCTTGTTCCCAGCATGCTCCTGTACTACTCATCACTTTTTCCCACGATCGGCTGTAGACAGGTGACAAGTAGATCCAAACATTGGGGGCATGGATGGGTGGGCAGTCATGACCTGTTGTGTCAGGATAAGTATGTAGATAAGGGGATACTCTGATTCCCTATATTTTTTAACTTATCCTTCCACAACAGTATGCAATTATCCCACTTAGGACGGTGGGTTGGACCAACTGCATATCCCCATTTGCTATTGAGTGGTCAGCCCGGAGCACGGACTAGATTAGACTGCCACTTTGTTTTCAATTTCACTAGTCCCATAATGCGTTGAAATTACATTGCAACCGGAAGTACTCGAAAGATCAGGCACCGTAGTTACCCTCACAATATGTAGTACCCTTGTTACAGAGTTTAATGCAGTCATCTCAAAGAAATAAAGAACAAACATGCAGGGGTACTGGTATGGGCATCCAGAAAGGCAGGTGCTCCATTCCGTTCATACAAGGAGACCGTAGAAGGGCAGTGTGTCTGACGAATAGCAAGAGCCGCCGTCGTAGAGAAACCATGAGCCGTCAACGTCAATGCATTCTGCAAATAGACTACATACGTAGATCCCACGACTCTGGTTAAAAAGTTAAAAATTAAAAGAAGCATGTGACACAGAGAATCTCACTCGAGTGTCTTCCGAGATCAAATATGTCAAGACGAGTTGATACAAGTTACAAATGTCTAAGGCTTGCCAGTGATATTGATATGATATATTTGACCTTGGAAGACAAGAAAAATTAATCTCCCTTCATTTTCTGTTTGTAAAACAGTAATATCCAGTGTCTTGGGTGTAAATTTACAACTATAGATTCAGTGGCAGAGGGAATAGTGATGTCATTTGATTGTAACGTCATGGTAACCGATGATGTCACAATGGTCTGCAAAGCATTGTGATGCAATTTCATTGATCAAGCAATTTCTCCTAGGAGATATTGCATGATCTCACCCAAGCAATATGCCCTGTGGGAGCCAGTGTTAGATGGTAAATTGCAGTACAGGGCTTGATTTAGCTGTATAAAACATGCACCAGTGCAACCTATTATTGAAAAATGTCGACTCGTTTATGCATCAATATTCCAACTTTGATAAATTTATGGGACCAGGGTGCAACCTGGTTTTGTCTGGTGCAACCTGGTTTTCATGTCAACATGCACCTGGAGCTAGTTAAATCAAGTTCCTTAAATCAAGCCCTGAAGTACCATTATATTGGTCACATCTTCTCAAGGCAAGGGAGTTAACAGACTATAAAAGTCCAGTTTCCACCCTGGCTGAACTAGGCTGGTATTTCGGAGTTACATTATTAGCTGGATTTACGAGTCTATGTGTAGTCCAATCAAATTCACGTAATAGATTTCATGGATTTCAACAGATTTCAGTCGACTGCAAAACATGTGTACTGACAATTGGGCGTTGACAGATATTTTGCAAATCTTTTCATGTTTTTAATGAAGTTCATTTTCTAAGTTTGTCAGTCATGATTTAAAACCAATCAAGACCCTGCTACCAGGATATGCTTGTTTGCTGTCAAATACATTATGACAGCAGTAAAAACTAGACAGAAATACTCGCAGCTGATTGGCTGGTGTGTAGTCAGGTACACATTGTGCAGTGATCTATAAGTAAACAGTACTGATATTGTATTACAAATAATGTAAATACTCCATGTGAAATTAGATTTCTTCAGCAGATTTATTGCGTCAATTATGACGTGTATTAAAAACTTTTGGAAGCATTTCAGGACTTTATTGCCTCAAATACGGAGGAATAATGGTGTTGTAAAACCATGTTTACATTTGGATCATTTTAATGAAAAGATTAGAAATCCTTTTCGGAATGATCAAAAAAGCTGCTTTCAAATAACCTTTTTTTTCATGAAGTATTCCCCTTCTCATATAGAGTTTGATACTGTTTATTTCAGTCAACTGAGGGAATGTGAGAGACACCACTATGAGGTGATACCAGAAGGTGGGTATGAGTCAGTGCTTGGTTAGTACAAGGTGGAGTGCTGTGTGCAATACAGTCGAGTCCCCTTAATCCGACATGGTTGGTTGCATATGATTATGTCGGATTAACGAGTATGTCGGATAAACGAAATTAAGTGGTATCAACGTTCGTGATCGAAAATCGGACAACTACACGATAGATAACAATACAAACACGTAATAAAAAAATAAAAATGAAATATTCATATTGTTATGTTACATTGTTAGCGGAATATGTTTTCTAATCATGCAACCTCTAAGGCTCAACACAAAACAACTGTTATGGACTGTATGACTTATTCAAAATACTTTAAAAAACATAGTCTTGAATGGAAGTCTCAAGTTTGAAACTGGTACTGCAGAGCTTAGACTCGTCTCGCATCAAAACACGGGCTGTGTACTTGCGGGCAGATGACGTACGCTGAACACTGCATCGGATTAACGAGACTGATTAATGAGTGATTTCGGTAATTCATTGCAAATTAGGTGTGTCGGAGTCAGAGTGCAAGACTGTCAGATTAACGGGTCTAAATAGCACTGATTTATTCGTTTTCAATCATTAGTGTCGGATAATGCTGATTGTCTGATTAACAAGACTTGACTGTATACAGTTAAAGTAAACATTTTCATCACTTGGAGCATAATCACCCACAACACATGTCAAGTTAAAAAGTTCAGTTTACAAAGAAAGCCAACAATATTTCTTAGTGGACTGCTATTCGTCCATACTATATTGTAAATATGGCTTTATCATTTGCTGATTGGGCTCTTAAGTTCAAAGGTAGGGCTCTTCGCATTTATTTCATGATGCTTTTAGCGCTTTGAGTATGCCCCTGTGTGGTGTGGAGATATGTGCAATATAAATGGCCTATTATTATTTTTATTATGGAATGTAATTCATTCAGAAGCCTGCAATGTATTGTGTACTTTGACATATTCTGGTAGGATCATTCAAGAGATAAACCTGTTTTGAAATTTTTAGGCAGTCAAACTAGATTAGATACCTCTTATTTAATTTGGAGACAAGAGCATAATCAATATGTTGATAGTGTGTGATATTTTATTTGACAGGGTTTCCCATTCAGCAACCCACGCTTGTCCTAAGAGACGACTAACGGGATCAGGTGGTCAGGCTCGCTGACTTGGTTGATGCTTGTCATTGCATCCCAGTTGTGAAGATTGATGCTCATTATGTCATTCACTTGATTGTCTGGTCCAGACTCGATTATTTACAGACCGCTGTCATAAAGCTGCAATATTGCTGAGTGTGGCGTTAAACAACAACAAACAAACATAGCCGTGGCTCAGTTTAGTGAGTCCTGCTTGATTATAAAGGCAACATCGAGATTGAAAAACATTTTAATGGGAAAATTAACAATTTGTTTCAGTCCCTGGCTATTTTTGTTGGAACTTATCACTGAGTGAGTTGAATATGTTGTGTCAAATATGACTCATCAAAAACAGGATTAGGAGTATTTGTAATGAAAATGGCATTACATACGAAGGATCCTTGCATCATGTGATTGTCTATGTTGATCTGTTGATATTGAAACACCTGAATGATAGGCCTGCATATTTGTACTTTGACTTTACTGACTCTTCCACTGAGAAAGTCTATTCTTAGATGACAACTTCTGAACACACCAACCTGACAAGTTGTTTCTGATGCCTTGATGCAGGTGGAGTGTGTAAGCTGTACTTTGATCTGGAGTTTGCTAAAGAAGTCAATCCTGACAGCAATGGATTACAGATGGTTGAAATATTTATAAAGGTGATAGACACAAATAACTCTTAACCTTTGTCAATAAAGTGTGTGATAAATTTCCTTACTATCAGATCTTACCTTTCTCCATCAAGGTCAGACAAGCCCACTGTGGGAGGTAACATCACATGAACTTGGGCCGCCTTTATCAAAAAGTAAAATGCTTGGGATTTTGAACCAATCAGAACTCAGCTTTCTTAAAGAATTTGGCATCATTGTCTGAATTGCTGATCTTGGACAATACAGGTAGTTTAACTGTTTGGTGGGTGAGAAATTTAACCACAGCAAATAGAAATTCTGATGTCATTGAATGAAAGATGAGAAGGTGTTAATATGCCGTTATTATTCTCCATGGGGAACCTCCTGTTTAGGGGTGTTTTTGAGATACAGAAATCAGACATGGTGTTCCGAATGTTTTGCATGCTTGTTCTGAGAATTTTGAAGGCTTTTGGCTGTGATTGGCTGGGTAGAAAGTTCATCTGACATGACCTGATTGGCTGACCTTGATAGAGAGAAGTATCGCATCTGAGTATAAAAACTAAATGAGAATGAATGTATGATTTGCTATTAACAGCCTTAACACTTAATCAAAAAGTCCATCATCTCAATGGCAGTGAAAGGTAGGCACATATTGAATGAAATCATGACAAATGTTTTGTTCCCCTGAAAAGTAATAATTTGGGAATCAATATTTGACTTATTGTTATGAAAATTAACTTTTATATGACATATTTATGAAATATAATTCTTGAAAGAACACAGATAGTAATGTGTAAGGACAGAACATGATGCTTTGATGTTTATCCTTATATTATTATGTTCTTTCCTTGTAATCTCTACAAAACAGCTATTAAATAAATATTGAACCTATGTGATGTCCTGCTAGTCTGTCTGACCAGCCCGGCAGTAACACCTTGTCGTCTGTCCCCAGTACGTGTGTACCTGGCTGCAGCATCACTACAGGGTGCAGTGTGATCGGCAGGATGTGCTCGACCTTGATGCCAGGTGAGTGTTCTGATTGGGCTGAATCAAATACTTTGTTTATAATATTATGCATCATAATGCTTTTTGCCTTTTTTTAAATTGTGTGAATATCCTTTAATTTTGATACACAAATGAAAGCTGATTCTTTCCTTTATCATTTCTTATATCTTTAGTTGCCCTTTTATGGACCAGATGTGTCCAGCCTGAGTATGGGCTTCATATGGCAAATTAGGATGATTTATTAATGATACATATTTATATAGAATGACTGCTGCCTATCGGCTAATTTCACCCTTCTTTCGGTTCTCTGATGATATCCATATAGAAAATAATAGAGCCATTCTTCTGTTTTGTTCTTTCAGCACCGAGAAGAAGTTCAGTCGACATCTGGTCTTTCAGCTGCAAGATGTAGTCTTCAAGGACAATGTCGGTGCAGGTGAGGCTTGTAATGTTGGTGCAGGTGAGGCTAGTAATGTTGGTGCAGGTGAGGCTAGTGATGTTGGTTGGTGCAGGTGAGGCTAGTGATGTTGGTGCAGGTGAGGCTAGTAATGTCGGTGCAGGTGACGCTAGTAATGTTGGTGCAGGTGACGCTAGTAATGTCGGTGCAGGTGAGGCTAGTGATGTCAGTGCAGGTGAGGCTAGTAATGTCGGTGCAGGTGACGCTAGTAATGTTGGTGCAGGTGAGGCTAGTAATGTTGGTGCAGGTGAGGCTTGTAATGTCGGTGCAGGTGAGGCTAGTAATGTTGGTGCAGGTGAGGCTAGTAATGTTGGTGCAGGTGAGGCTAGTAATGTTGGTGCAGGTGAGGCTAGTAATGTCGGTGCAGGTGAAGCTAGTAATGTTGGTGCAGGTGAGGCTAGTAATGTTGGTGCAGGTGAGGCTAGTAATGTTGGTGCAGGTGAGGCTGGTAATGTTGTTGCAGGTGAGACTAGTGATGTCAGTGCAGGTGAGGCTAGTGATGTCGGTGCAGGTGAGGCTAGTGATGTTGGTGTTGGTGCAGGTGAGGCTAGTAATGTCGGTGCAGGTGAGGCTAGTAATGTTGGTGCAGGTGAGGCTAGTAATGTTGGTGCAGGTGAGGCTAGTAATGTTGGTGCAGGTGAGGCTAGTAATGTCGGTGCAGGTGAAGCTAGTAATGTTGGTGCAGGTGAGGCTAGTAATGTTGGTGCAGGTGAGGCTGGTAATGTTGTTGCAGGTGAGACTAGTGATGTCAGTGCAGGTGAGGCTAGTTATGTCGGTGCAGGTGAGGCTAGTAATGTTGGTGCAGGTGAGGCTTGTAATATCGGTGCAGGTGAGGCTAGTAATGTCGGTGTCGGTGCAGGTGAGACTAGTGATGTTGATGCAGGTGAGGCTAGTAATATTGATGCAGGTGAGGCTAGTGATGTTGGAGCATGTGAGGCTAGTGATGTCAGTGCAGGTGAGGCTAGTAATGTCGGTGCAGGTGAGGCTAGTGATGTTGGTGCAGGTGAGGCTAGTGATGTCAGTGCAGGTGAGGCTAGTAATGTCGGTGCAGGTGAGGCTAGTAATGTCGGTGCAGGTGAAGCTAGTAATGTTGGTGCAGGTGAGGCTAGTAATGTTGGTGCAGGTGAGGCTGGTAATGTTGTTGCAGGTGAGACTAGTGATGTCAGTGCAGGTGAGGCTAGTTATGTCGGTGCAGGTGAGGCTAGTAATGTTGGTGCAGGTGAGGCTTGTAATATCGGTGCAGGTGAGGCTAGTAATGTCGGTGTCGGTGCAGGTGAGACTAGTGATGTTGATGCAGGTGAGGCTAGTAATATTGATGCAGGTGAGGCTAGTGATGTTGGAGCATGTGAGGCTAGTGATGTCAGTGCAGGTGAGGCTAGTAATGTCGGTGCAGGTGAGGCTAGTGATGTTGGTGCAGGTGAGGCTAGTGATGTCAGTGCAGGTGAGGCTAGTAATGTCGGTGCAGGTGAGGCTAGTAATGTCGGTGCAGGTGACGCTAGTAATATCGGTGCAGGTGAGGCTAGTAATGTCGCTGCAGGTGAGGCTAGTAATATCGGTGCAGGTGAGGCTAGTAATGTTGGTGCAAGTGAGGCTTGTAATGTTGGTGCAAGTGAGGCTAGTAATATCGGTGCAGGTGAGGCTAGTAATGTTGCTGCAGGTGAGGCTAGTAATATCGGTGCAGGTGAGGCTAGTAATGTTGGTGCAGGTGAGGCTAGTAATGTTGGTGCAGGTGAGGCTAGTAATGTTGGTGCAGGTGAGGCTATTAATGTTGGTGCAGGTGAGGCTAGTAATGTTGGTGCAGGTGAGGCTAGTAATGTTGGTGCAGGTGAGGCTAGTGATGTTGGTGCAGGTGAGGCTATTAATGTTGATACAGGTGAGGCTAGCGATGTCGGTGCAGGTGAGGCTAGCGATGTCGGTGCAGGTGAGGCTAGTAATGTTGGTGCAGGTGAGGCTACTAATGTTGGTGCAGGTGAGGCTAGTAATGTTGGTGCAGGTGAGGCTTGTAATGTTGGTGCAGGTGAGGCTAGTAATGTCAGTGCAGGTGAGGCTAGTAATGTCGGTGCAGGTGAGGCTAGTAATATTGGTGCAGGTGAGGCTAGTTTTTAGTTCCCCTGCTTGTACTAGTCAAGATGAATGCTGGCTTATTGTTCTGGTCCACTGAGATACAATGCTGCAGTTTAACATGAATACCTAAAACAGACACAGTATACTGACTTTGAGCCAGCCAGTTTTATCACCTTAATCCAAAGCATCAGACAGGGAAACAATAAGTACCCTATTTTAATGTCTCTGACACTCTGGTTTGCAGGGTAAATAACTTTTACAGTCAGTTTAAAGATTAAGCCTGTAATGTTAAAAATCAACAGAATCTTTAAAGTAACTGTTTTGCTTTTGTGGTTTTTGATGGGTGCTATAGACGGGGGACTGTACTGTCTGGTGCCACCTCAATCTACACCTTGTACATTGGTTTCTCGGAGGAGAACCGGGATTTTGTCTGTGTATATTTGGGGAAATTCATCATGGAATTTTAGTTTGCTGATGAAGAAAGTGGGTTTTGAATAACTTGATATAATCATGCTCCAACTGGCGCCTGTCCTGAACCTCGCCCCTCCCCCAGCAACTCACATGACCATATGCTCCATGTCAACAGGGCATATCAGTGTATCACTGTCTAGAAGTATCCAGTATCATGTCACCATGAAACAAAACAGTCAAACCTCGTTGTGTTGAACACACGGTTGTCTAAACTCACCTTCCGGACCCCATCTGTTGAACTGGATGTGTTGGATTCCCAGTTGTTTCAAACTTATTTGGGAGTCCCTAGTATTCAAATTAAGCCTAAAATTACTCATTTCTCAATTTTCATGTCAACGTCAATCACATGAGAACACTTCAGTAACTGCTGCTGTGTGTACAGTAATCAGCTTGCACCTTTGATGTAAGGTGTGCTTGATATAAGGTGTGCTTGATGTAAGGTGTGCTTGATATAAGGTGTGCTTGATGTAAGGTGTGCTTGATGTAGGGTGTGCTTGATGTAAGGTGTGCTTGATATAAGGTGTGCTTGATGTAAGGTGTGCTTGATATAAGGTGTGCTTGATGTAAGGTGTGCTTGATGTAAGGTGTGCTTGATGTAAGGTGTGCTTGATGTAAGGTGTGCTTGATGTAAGGTGTGCTTGACATAGGGTGTGCTTGATATAAGGCATAAATTGTGAAATGTACATACACCTTGAAATCTAGTGTTGTGTTCAGACCTGATTGGTATTGGGAACGCTGGGTTAGATGTTCAAGTCTGTCACTCATTTTACCAATAATAGAAAATATCATGTGTCGTGATAGGCAGTACCTCTCGATGATGTCATGAACGACCTGTCGTGGAAAACACGATCTCGCTTACATACATTTTTGGCAATCTCGTCCGTGTTTAGATTTATCGCCATCTTATCGCTTGCGTAAATATTTACCCCACCCCAAGACCACACGTAGAGTTTACGCCAATTTTACACGTACATAATATTACACTAGCTTTGTGAAACGCCCCTAGTTCACGGCGCTCCGCGGATTCATACAGTTTGCACATTGGTTTTTCGATTCGTACCTAAATGAACCGAAAAAAATACACAGTCAATCCTTAAATGTGTTTTGATATTTTGTAATACAGGTCACTTTGTCCATCACATCTTTAACAAACTGCTGGACAGCGTGCAGCCATGCACACCAGGGGGAGACAACCCTGTTAAAACAGAACCTTCAGATTCTACAGAGATCATCCCACCTTTGTCGAGTGCAGCCTCGGAAACATCAGATGTGAGTGAGGAGAAGCAAGATGCAGCTGTGTCAGCTGAGGTGAAGAGTGAAGACCGAAATGATTCAGGTTTTGAGAGCCCCCTGAAGGAGATGCAAGGTAGTGGCAGCTCCACGGAGAAGTCAGACCGGGACGTCAGCAGTGAGAGCCCCCTGAAGGAGATGGAAGGTAGTGGCAGCTCCATGGAGAAGACAGACCGGGACGTCAGCAGTGAGAGCTGTGACATACTGGGTCAGTTTACTGATGAGGAGTTGAAGTCTCTGGTGGTGATGTCCAAGGACCAGAAGCCCATGCTGTTTTGTGATATGGGTAGGTATGGTAGGCAGTGTCGGAGGAAACTTTTCATTTTCATAAATTGAGTTAGAACTGATGGACTATCGTTTTATATACATCACTTTTTCATTAATACAATAAGCTGGATTTTCTTTAGCCCCTAAAATGGTATGGACATCGTGACAGGTATGTAAAATACATTTAAATATATAGCAGTTACGTGGGCCCACATCTTATCATGTCTACGTTTCCTTCCACATCAAGCTGACATGCCATGATAAAACTGGAATACTGTTCAAAGCGGAGTTAAACCCAACTCACTCACTCACTCTGAAAATGATGCCACGATATCAATTCCCTAACAGTAAAATATATGTCTTTGTTTTAGGTGTTTACACAAAGAACAGGAACTTTAGGTTGCTGAAGTCCACAAAGTTGGGAAAGAAAAACCCATTCCGTGTATCAGCTGAGAACGTCTACACACCAAGACCAAAACCAGACACTATGGAAGGATTCAACCTCTTCTCTGACTCTCTCATTTCAAATGTCAAGTGAGTGTTTCAGAACAGTTTTCCAACAGTCACACATTTCTCCATTCTGAGACTCACATCAAGTTGACCAGGAGGGCTGACTAAATTGATTGGATAGTCGGGCTATGTGACCTGGTTGATTGTGTGTCAGCGTACCCTGATTGAGTGGAGCATTGCTCATTATGTCTATCACTTACTGACTTGATTATTCACATGCTGCTGTCATGTGGTTGGGATAGTGATGATCGTGGCTTTAAACAGCAAACAAAACTGAAGGTGAAATGGGGTTAAATGTCGTATTCAAGATTACTGCACTTATATGGCGATATATATGCATGCATGTGTGTTTTGTGTGTTTGTGAGTGAGAAGACACTGTCTTCAAGTCGACCAGTCATTTTTTCATCCCCTTAATACCGAGCACCAGATTGGGTAACAACAAGTACCATCTTCTAATATCTTTTGGCATAACGTGGCCAGGGATCGAAACACGACACCGAATTTCTGCTCTCCTGGCAGATGCTTGTCTGAATGAAACAGAGGATGCTTGTGATGAGACCCCTGATTCATTAACCTTAGCATTATGACATGGACCCCAAACACAGAAAAGTAAATAGCTTACAGCCATGATTTCAGTATATTAGCATACATGTTTCAGATACACACCAAGACTGCGTATCTTGACGTTTGGCTCCAAGAGCCAAGGTAGCAGATTCCGACATCAGGCAATCAAACAACACAGATCTCATGATGAGACAGGCAAGTAGTACACATGGCACAATGTGTTGTTATTTTGTCTCGCTATAGCAGAGTCCCTGGACTTTCTGCGGGGATTTATCTGGGATGTCAAACCAAGTGATATTTGCAGGTAATTTGGTAAAAAAAATCATGGATTTTTTTAAGAATTTTAAATTTTAAAATTCAAATAGAGAATTTTTACTGTCATTTGCAGGGGCCAGATATGGGCCTCTGAGCAGGTCGAGATAAGTCCCTGTCCTGGTTGACTTGATCCGTGGTATGTGAGAGTACAGGTGTTGAAATTGTCTGGGGTGTTGGGTAAGCCTATAAGTTAATCACTCGTCACCTAGTCTATTGAAGGACTGGGTTTAAACGATACTTTCAGAAAAGAGCATGTTATTGAATACAATGGAAGAAACAATATTTTCTGACAATATAAGATCTACTGACTAATTGTGCTATCCCTGACAGAAACACTGGCCGGCTACACCACGTCCCCGTATCCCGAGCTGGATGACTTCATCTGCAGGACAGTGGGGGATAGTGGTAAGAACGGCTGCATCCGACACTGGACGTACTTCCCCCAGGGGGAGCTGCTCATCTATGACATCGCCCGATACCGCTGGTGTGCCAACATACAGAGACAGCACCGCAGCAACAACATCATGTTAGTTTCTGCATCATTAAAATTTGTCAACATTTTGTTGTCAGTGATTATTTCTTTTATGTCAGTGGTGTCAGGGATTTATCTAGGCTGTACTACAGGTAGATTTAGGTGGAGCATTGAGTAAGTATCAATAATGGCGTTTAATTTGTTCAAGACATCAAAATCTTAAATTCCATATTGACACAAGGGATTTTTATTAAACATATTCCTTCTCAAAATCAAAGTGCCTATAGGGCTATATACATGTACCTCTGACTTTGTTCAAGGTGTTTTTATTTGAAAATAATTGGCCATTGGTGTCCATGACCATTTTGTGTTTCCAAAAATTTCGAAGATACCTTTTCAAAGAACCAGACGTGGGTGGTGGGGTAGGGGTGTGGATTAGGGTGAAGAATAAAAAAACTCATAACTAAATCACTTGGTAACATGTTTTCAACTAAAACACTGATTAATTGACTCTTTTTACAACAGCAAATTGATTCCAAAATTATGTGGAAGCACTTTCCTATTTTGAGTACTCTGCCATTGAAAAAAAAACTTTGCAACCAACCACCCCCCTCTCCTTCCCAGCCCTGTAGTAGTGCATGGGTGGTTTGTCTATTTGAGGTAGTATGAAGATTGTATCTGTGTTTACACCAGGCTGTGTGTGGATATGAAGAAAGGAGTTTATTACCAAAAGTGCCATGACCCAGATTGCAAGGCTGACAACTTCAAATCAGAGGGTAACATCATCTACTTGGATATATGTTGATACCAACGTAAACTGTCTTGTGTGACCTCTACATCTCCCTTTTGTGACCTCTACATCTCCCTCTTGTGTGACCTCTACACCTGCTTCTTGTGTGACCTCCACATCTCCCTCGTGTGACCTCCACATCTGTTTCTTGTGTGACCTCCACATCTGCTTCTAGTGTGACCTCTACATCTCCCTCGTGTGACCTCCACATCTGTTTCTTGTGTGACCTCCACATCTGCTTCTAGTGTGACCTCTACATCTGCTTCTTGTGTGACCTCTACATCTGCTTCTTGTGTGACCTCCACATCTGCTTCTTGTGTGACCTCTACATCTGCTTCTTGTGTGACCTCCACTTCTGCTTCTTGTGTGACCTCCACATCTGCTTCTTGTGTGACCTACACATCTGCTTCTTGTGTGACCTCTACATCTGCTTCTTGTGTGACCTACACATCTGCTTCTTGTGTGACCTCCACATCTCCCTCTTGTGTGACCTCCACATCTCCCTCTTGTGTGACCTCCACATCTCCCTCTTGTGACCTCCACATCTGCTTCTTGTGTGACCTCCACATCTCCCTCTTGTGTGACCTCCACATCTGCTTCTTGTGTGACCTCCACATCTCCCTCTTGTGACCTCCACATCTGTCTTTTGTGTGACCTCTACATCTCCCTCTTGTGTGACATCCACATAACCCTCTTGTGTGACCTCTACACCTGCTTCTTGTGTGACCTCCACATCTCCCTCGTGTGACCTCCACATCTGTTTCTTGTGTGACCTCCACATCTGCTTCTAGTACTTCTACATCTGCTTCTTGTGTGACCTCTACATCTGCTTCTTGTGTGACCTCCACATCTGCTTCTTGTGTGACCTCTACATCTGCTTCTTGTGTGACCTCCACTTCTGCTTCTTGTGTGACCTCCACATCTGCTTCTTGTGTGACCTACACATCTGCTTCTTGTGTGACCTCTACATCTGTTTCTTGTGTGACCTACACATCTGCTTCTTGTGTGACCTCCACATCTCCCTCTTGTGACCTCCACATCTCCCTCTTGTGTGACCTCCACATCTCCCTCTTGTGACCTCCACATCTGCTTCTTGTGTGACCTCCACATCTCCCTCTTGTGACCTCTAAATCTGCTTCATGTGACCTCTACATCTGTCTTTTGTGTGACCTCTACATCTGCTTCTTGTGACCTCCACATCTGCTTCTTGTGTGACCTCTACATCTGCTTCTTGTGTGACCTCTACATCTGCTTCTTGTGTGACCTCCACTTCTGCTTCTTGTGTGACCTCCACATTTCCTTCTTGTGTGACCTCTACATCTGCTTTTTGTGTGACCTCTACATCTGCTTCTTGTGTGACCTCCACTTCTGCTTCTTGTGTGACCTCCACATCTGCTTCTAGTGTGACCTCTACATCTGCTTCTTGTGTGACCTCTACATCTGCTTCTTGTGTGACCTCCACATCTGCTTCTTGTGTGATCTCTACATCTGCTTCTTGTGTGACCTCTACATCTGCTTCTTGTGTGACCTCCACTTCTGCTTCTTGTGTGACCTCCACATCTGCTTCTTGTGTGACCTCCACATCTGCTTCTTGTGTGACCTACACATCTGCTTCTTGTGTGACCTACACATCTGCTTCTTGTGTGACCTCTACATCTGCTTCTTGTGTGACCTACACATCTGCTTCTTGTGTGACCTACACATCTGCTTCTTGTGTGACCTCCACATCTCCCTCTTGTGACCTCCACATCTGCTTCATGTGACTTCTACATCTGTCTTTTGTGTGACCTCTACATCTGCTTCTTGTGACCTCCACATATCCCTCTTGTGACCTCTACATCTGCTTCTTGTGTGACCTCCACATCTGCTTCTTGTGTGATCTCCACATCTGCTTCTTGTGTGACCTCTACATCTGCTTCTTGTGTGACCTCCACTTCTGCTTCTTGTGTGACCTCCACATCTGCTTCTTGTGTGACCTCCACATCTGCTTCTTGTGTGACCTACACATCTGCTTCTTGTGTGACCTACACATCTGCTTCTTGTGTGACCTACACATCTGCTTCTTGTGTGACCTCTACATCTGCTTCTTGTGTGACCTACACATCTGCTTCTTGTGTGACCTACACATCTGCTTCTTGTGTGACCTCCACATCTGCTTCTTGTGTGACCTCTACATCTGCTTCTTGTGTGACCTCCACATCTGCTTCTTGTGTGATCTCTACATCTGCTTCTTGTGTGACCTCTACATCTGCTTCTTGTGTGACCTCCACTTCTGCTTCTTGTGTGACCTACACATCTGCTTCTTGTGTGACCTCCACATCTGCTTCTTGTGTGACCTACACATCTGCTTCTTGTGTGACCTACACATCTGCTTCTTGTGTGACCTACACATCTGCTTCTTGTGTGACCTCTACATCTGCTTCTTGTGTGACCTCTACATCTGCTTCTTGTGTGACCTACACATCTGCTTCTTGTGTGACCTCCACATCTGCTTCTAGTGTGACCTCCACATCTGCTTCTTGTGTGACCTCTACATCTGCTTCTTGTGTGACCTCCACATCTGCTTCTTGTGTGATCTCTACATCTGCTTCTTGTGTGACCTCTACATCTGCTTCTTGTGTGACCTCCACTTCTGCTTCTTGTGTGACCTACACATCTGCTTCTTGTGTGACCTCCACATCTGCTTCTTGTGTGACCTACACATCTGCTTCTTGTGTGACCTACACATCTGCTTCTTGTGTGACCTACACATCTGCTTCTTGTGTGACCTCTACATCTGCTTCTTGTGTGACCTACACATCTGCTTCTTGTGTGACCTACACATCTGCTTCTTGTGTGACCTCCACATCTCCCTCTTGTGACCTCCACATCTGCTTCATGTGACTTCTACATCTGTCTTTTGTGTGACCTCTACATCTGCTTCTTGTGACCTCTACATCTGCTTCTTGTGTGACCTCCACATCTGCTTCTTGTGTGATCTCTACATCTGCTTCTTGTGTGACCTCTACATCTGCTTCTTGTGTGACCTCCACTTCTGCTTCTTGTGTGACCTCCACATCTGCTTCTTGTGTGACCTCCACATCTGCTTCTTGTGTGACCTACACATCTGCTTCTTGTGTGACCTACACATCTGCTTCTTGTGTGACCTACACATCTGCTTCTTGTGTGACCTCTACATCTGCTTCTTGTGTGACCTACACATCTGCTTCTTGTGTGACCTACACATCTGCTTCTTGTGTGACCTCCACATCTCCCTCTTGTGACCTCCACATCTGCTTCATGTGACTTCTACATCTGTCTTTTGTGTGACCTCTACATCTGCTTCTTGTGACCTCCACATATCCCTCTTGTGACCTCTACATCTGTTTCTTGTGTGACCTCTTTCAAACTACATGTATACCTATCTTGAGTATCTTTTCAGCAACAAACTGTCTGTATTTATGTGTTTATTTGAACATACAGTACATATTTAACAACCTAATAATTCAGTTCTGATTTTATCTTCTGAATGCTTCAATTCAAGTAAAAGATTAATTCAGACAAAAAATATTATAATTATGAAGTTACCCAGTTGATGGATAAAAGAAACGAAAACATTATAATTCTAAACTGAAGCTCCAACTTCAGTAAAATATGACCAGAATATTTCCCTGTCTGCAAATTGCAAACAGTTAATCTGACCCGAAACATTATTTTTTCAGATCTGCCCCTCCCATCAGAAGTCCTCCCTGGCCACTACTTCAACATCAGCAGTGATGGTCTCGAGTCCGACTTCGACGATGATGACATTGTGCGGGCAGCGGAGGAGGTGGAGAAGACATACCAGTCACAGCAGGAGGAGAGTGATGACGATCTCCTCAATGCCACACTGGAGCTGGAGAAGAACCTGTCAGAACACATGAAGTCCTGAGGTTATACCAGGGACGTGTGTCTTATTTTTTTTTACTTATGTGCCTTTTTTCACATTTCAATAACTATAACAACTAAACTTTTTTAAATCAAAACTTTTAAAGAAATCTATAGCCCTAATTATAATTTGAACTAATTATGCGTGTATATTTAGTTGTAAGCATGCAAGTTATTTTATTCATCTACTACAAATGGTCATCTTAAAGCAGTACATCTTGTATATTTTAACATGATTGTGTATTTTCATAATGAAATAATGAAATTATTCTGAAAGTTCCCATTGCTGGGAACGTCGCTATATAAGTGCAATAATCTTGGACGCGACGTTAAACCCAATTTCACCTCACCTCACCTCCCATTGCTGGCATTTATACAGTCATTGTAAGGACATGGCCAATTTTTTCGTCAAATACAATTTACTGTACACAGCATAGATCACATAGATCACATAGATCACACAGCTCCCAGTAGGCACTGTAATTCTGTTTCTCATGGGATACCTTGTCAAGTCTGTTTACACAAGTAAATGAATCAGTTCTGGGTGCAGTTGTACAAAGCGATCTTGGCGCTGAGGTGAATCGTACCTCCCATACCTAAACATAGACTTATGACAGTCGTAGCGTGAAGGTTGTTTTGTACAACAGCACCCTGACAGTCACCAACCTTGCAGCACCATGCTGATGACTCGATGTTCTTGGCAACCGTGTCCAATAATCTTCTGATTATAGGTACAACATTGCTTATCCAAGTATGGACAGTCCTGAGTCCAGTACTGACACAGCAGACAATTGCATGCTTAATGAATGCACAACATTGCTTATCCAAGTATGGACAGTCCAGTACTGACACAGCAGACAATTGCATGCTTAATGAATGCACAACATTGCTTATCCAAGTATGGACAGTCCAGTACTGACACAGCAGACAACTGCATGCTTAATGAATGCACAACAGTGCTTATATCCATTCCACAGGGGGGTCCAGGGGTCCCCCTCCCCCCTTTTGAAAACCAAATGTAGTATGTTGTAGGCAGTTACATTATCTGAGAGAGGTTTTGATATTTTGGACCCCTCCCTTCTGAAAATGCTGGATTCATTGAAACATTGGTAACCTTCACAATCATTGTTGACCTGACCTATCTCATTTGAATATGCCTTATTTGGTATGATGCAAGTGGGAGAAGTTACTTTGTGAGAAAGTCAATGTTGTTATTCGGTCAAACTGCTTGTACTTACCCCGTACTGTACATGGTGCTGTATGTCATCATCATTGCTGATTGGGGGCACGGGTGGCCCAGTCGTCTAAGGCGCCGCGATTCGCTGTGCAGAGATGCGTCCCTTGGGCACGCCAGAAACCTATGATTGTGGGTTTGAATCCTGGTTCGCCCCGATTATGTTTCTAGGTTTGTCAGCACCATACCGTGCTCGTGGGTTTCACCGAAGTGGTAAACGTCTGAGACCTGTATCACTTCGTGTTTTCTCCCACATTAGCTGACACGCCGCGATATAACTGGAATACTGTTAAAAGTGGCGTTAAACCCAACTCACTCACTCACTCACTCACTCACTCACTCACTCACTCACTCACTCACTCACTATCATTGCTGATTAATGAGATTTAAAAGGTAGATAACTCCCATTTGTTTCATCTTGAGACAATTAAGGCTAGAGTGAGTGAGTGAGTGAGTGAGTTTGGTTTTACGCCGATTTTAATAGTATTCCAGTTATATCGCGGCGTGTCAGCTTAATGTGGGAGGAAAGCCCCAAGTGATGCAGGTCTCAGACGTTTACCACTTCGGTGAAACCCACGAGCACGGGTATGGTGCTGACAAACCTAGAAACATAATCTGGTCGAACCGGGATTCGAACCCACAATCATAGGTTTCTGGCGTGCCCAAGGGACGCATCTCTGCACAGCGAATCGCAGCGCCTTAGACGACTGGGCCACCCGTGCCCCCCAATTTAGGCTAGAGGTCAGCATCATTAATTTGGTGAAGCCTAAATTTCATAATCTACTGTGTATGAAGTTAATTTAGTGCTTTTATGTTTTTGTGGGTCATACCTGTTATATGTGCAAATATTTAATTGACACTAATCACAGACAGCATAATAAAAACTGAGCAACTGCAAGACTACAATGTTATTCCCTGTCATGTGGAATGGGAAACACAGATTTGAGTTCACTCAATAAAATTTGTTTAGGATCATTGTCACATTTGAGGTGACCTGTGAAGATCCGGGGTAGAATAGGTCTTCAGCAACCCCTGCTTGCCGTAAAAGGCAACTATGCTTGTCGTATCAGGCAACTAACGGGATCGGGTTGTCAGGCTCGCTGACTTGGTTGATGCATGTCATCGTATCCCAATTGCGTGGATTGATGCTCATGACGTCAGTCACTGGATTGTCTGGTCCAGTCTTGTTTATTTACAGACCACCGTCATATAGCTTGAATATTGCTGAGTGCAGCGTTGAACAACAAACAGACAAACAAAACAAAGCATTCAAGGTCCTGTACATCTGTTCCTGTCCATCTGTTCCTGTCCATCTGTTCCTGAGTACATCTTTACACCTGTTAATTGAAGCTGTAAAACACATGTAATATTGACTATTCATTTTGCAGTAAATTATATATTTATACAAAATGTTCTGTTTGTGTGACATGAATAAAACAATTCCATCTCAAGTTTGCTTTGAGAGTTTCTTGTAAACAATTTATGAACTGAGTTTTAGCATGGAGGTATTGTGATTTTTATCTTTTATAAGTGATTGGTATTTTGACCTCCTGGGTGCCGTTGTACAAAACAACCTTAGCACTAAGACTCTCGTAAGTCTATGTTAAGGTACGGGAGTTACAATCACCTCAGCACTAAGATCGCATTGTATGACAGCACCCCGTTCTGCTGAACAATACATGTATATATCATATCATGGTATGTTATCAACAGGATAAACAAATGCAATAAACTGGTTCTCGCTATCCGATAAATATCATATGCCAGTGAGATCACCTGGCCGGAACTACCTATAATCTCATTATATTGATTCAATGTCCGCTTTTTCAATTAACTGTTGACTAATGTACCAGTCAGTTTAGATAGGGAGTTTCAGAGTGGGGGTGATTCTGGAGACAAACATGGCTGCAAGTCTTTTGGTAAATGGGGCTGTTTGTTTGTTTGTTTGTTGTTTATCGCCGCACTCAGCAATATTCCAGCTATATGACGGCGGTCTGTAAAATAATTGAGTCTGGACCAGACAAAGCAGTGATTGACATCATGAGCATCGATCCACGCAATGGGGATCAATGACATGTATCAACCAAATCAACGAGCCTGACCCCCCAATCTCGTTAGTGGCCTTTTACGACAAGCATAGACGCCTTTTACGGGAAATATGGGTTGCTGAAGACCTATTCTATCTCGGAATCTTCACGGGCTGTTCACTAAAACAGTGTGTTCGTACTTTATTCTAAGTTTACTTCAGTTAGCGATGTCTTGAACATCAATTATTTTTGAAATGCTATTATAGGATAAAGAGATTGTTACTCTCATGTGTTTCCATATTGTAAAAATCAAATGTTAGGAATTAAAATAATATTTATTTAATGCTTGCATAATACAGTAAGTATTCCTGATGTATGGCATTTGTCATACCAAACATACTCAGTTTATAGTCTCTATGTATACAACAAGCATAATTCCTTGGTATAGGGGGTACGGGTGGCCCAGTCGTCTTATTCACTGTTCAGAGATGCATCCCTTGGTCAGGCCAGAAACCTATTGTTGGTGCAAATCTGGATGTGTTAGCTCCATACAGGTGCTCATGGGTTTCACCAAAGACCTTCGGGCTTTCCTCCCACTTTAAGCTGACACGCCGTGATATAACTAGAATACTGTTGAGAGCGGCTTTAAACCCAACTCACTCACTCACTCACCCACTCCATGGTATGATGAAAGTAAAAATACGACTTTGAAACTGAATGAAGCGTCCGGCAAATACCCCGCTCGGGTACAGCAAAACCTGAAGCAGGCCACTGTCGCCGTACATCGCAGTGTCGTCGTCGTCGTCGTCGTACTGCTGAATGCAGACATTGTGTGCGAGTTATTGTGTCGCCTCCTAATTACAATGCCAACACAAATCAATACATTTCTCTGATCACTGATCCGTGGTATGATCGATCACTATGCACCGAGGCGCTAAACGCGGTACTCCCCTGTTGCTACACACGGAGGGTAATTTGCTTCAGAATCTTGGATGTAAGGTTTCTGTAGCATCACTTTCAAGAAACTGAAATCCATATTTGCAGAACCTTAACGTATATGAACAATTCATCTAAACAAATCATAGATTTGCGTTTAATGTATTGATATTGACTCTGACTGGCCCTTGGTGAACGTTCAAGGGAGACGACTCCCCAGTCTACAACCCATTGGCTGTCTGGACGTTGGTCTTCTTGCCATGCGTGAAATTGAGACATTGTAATAGTAAAATTAGGGCAGTCATTGATTGATAGATTGATCCAGATAATTCAACTTGGCCTAGCAGGCTGGTAAAGCTTTGTTTGAATGACCTGATTTGCAATTTCCAAATTACGATACGGAAATCAAAATATGTGATCATGTCTCGTGAACGTTGTACAGTTAATGGATACATTTGTATAACGCTCAGCAGTCCCTTCTTAGATGCACAGCTCTGATGACTTAATCTGTTACACTTATTTGTTAGCTCTTTTTTTCAATAAATCGTGGTGATTAAGGATGAGTGAGTTGGGTTTAACGCCGCTTTTAACAGTGTTCCAGTTATATCACGACGTGTCTGCTTAATGTGGGAGGAAAGCCCGAAGTGATCTCAGACGTTTACCACTTCGGTGAAACCCACGAGCACGGGTATGGTGCTGACAAACTTAGAAACATAATTGGGGCGAACCGGGATTCGAACCCACAATCATAGGTTTCTGGCGTGCCCAAGGGACGCAACTCTGCACAGCGAATCGCGGCGCCTTAGACGACTGGGCCACCCGTGCCCCCTATTAAGGACGAGACTCCAGGAATCACGTTTAGATGCACTATAAACTCCTTGCTATGCCTCCATAAAGATTTGAACTCGATTAACCCATAATGTCTATTCATGGATTAGGCATTGTTCACGTCAGAGGAACGAGTGACTGAGTATGGTTTCAAGCCGCTTTTAGCAATATTCCAGCAATATCACGGCGGGGGCCCCCAGACATTGGCTTCACACATTGTGTGAATCGAACCCGGGTCTTCGGTGTGACGAGCGAACGC